CAAAGACTATACAACATTATACTCCTTTTGTGTGTCAAACTAAGTAGAATTTGAACATGTTTAGGAAAAACAATTTGTTTAATTCCGGTTAGCACGGCACTTGATTAAAACTTCATTGATGCCTACTACAACATAGGAATGTTTCGTACAAAGTCTGAACAAAGACTATACAACATTATACTCCTTTTGTGTGTCAAACCAAGTAGAATTTAAATATATATAAAGAAAACAATTTGTTTAAGACCGGTTAGCACGGCACTTGATTAAAACTTCATTGATGCCTACTACAACGTAGGAATGTTTCGTACAAAGTCTGAACAAAGACTATACAACATTATACTCCTTTTGTGTGTCAAACCAAGTAGAATTTAAATATATATAAAGAAAACAATTTGTTTAAGTCCGGTTAGCACGGCACTTGATTAAAACTTCATTGATGTCTACTACAACATAGGAATGTTTCGTACAAAGTCTGAACAAAGACTATACAACATTATACTCCTTTTGTGTGTCAAACCAAGTAGAATTTAAATATATATAAAGAAAACAATTTGTTTAAGACCGGTTAGCACGGCACTTGATTAAAACTTCATTGATGCCTACTACAACGTAGGAATGTTTCGTACAAAGTCTGAACAAAGACTATACAACATTATACTCCTTTTGTGTGTCAAACTAAGTAGAATTTGAACATGTTTAGGAAAAAGCAGTTTGTTTAAGTTCGGTTAGCACGGCACTTGATTAAAACTTCATTGATGCCTACTACAAATTAGGAATGTTTCGTACAAAGTCTGAACAAAGACTATACAACATTATACTCCTTTTGTGTGTCAAACCAAGTAGAATTTGAACATGTTTAGGAAAAACAATTTGTTTAATTCCGGTTAGCACGGCACTTGATTAAAACTTCATTGATGCCTACTACAACATAGGAATGTTTCGTACAAAGTCTGAACAAAGACTATACAACATTATACTCCTTTTGTGTGTCAAACTAAGTAGAATTTGAACATGTTTAGGAAAAGCAGTTTGTTTAAGTTCGGTTAGCACGGCACTTGATTAAAACTTCATTGATGCCTACTACAACATAGGAATGTTTCGTACAAAGTCTGAACAAAGACTATACAACATTATACTCCTTTTGTGTGTCAAACCAAGTAGAATTTGAACATGTTTAGGAAAAACAATTTGTTTAATTCCGGTTAGCACGGCACTTGATTAAAACTTCATTGATGCCTACTACAACATAGGAATGTTTCGTACAGTCTGAACAAAGACTATACAACATTATACTCCTTTTGTGTGTCAAACCAAGTAGAATTTGAACATGTTTAGGAAAAACAATTTGTTTAATTCCGGTTAGCACGGCACTTGATTAAAACTTCATTGATGCCTACTACAACATAGGAATGTTTCGTACAAAGTCTGAACAAAGACTATACAACATTATACTCCTTTTGTGTGTCAAACCAAGTAGAATTTAAATATATATAAAGAAAACAATTTGTTTAAGACCGGTTAGCACGGCACTTGATTAAAACTTCATTGATGCCTACTACAACGTAGGAATGTTTCGTACAAAGTCTGAACAAAGACTATACAACATTATACTCCTTTTGTGTGTCAAACTAAGTAGAATTTGAACATGTTTAGGAAAAGCAGTTTGTTTAAGTTCGGTTAGCACGGCACTTGATTAAAACTTCATTGATGCCTACTACAAATTAGGAATGTTTCGTACAAAGTCTGAACAAAGACTATACAACATTATACTCCTTTTGTGTGTCAAACCAAGTAGAATTTGAACATGTTTAGGAAAAACAATTTGTTTAATTCCGGTTAGCACGGCACTTGATTAAAACTTCATTGATGCCTACTACAACATAGGAATGTTTCGTACAAAGTCTGAACAAAGACTATACAACATTATACTCCTTTTGTGTGTCAAACTAAGTAGAATTTGAACATGTTTAGGAAAAGCAGTTTGTTTAAGTTCGGTTAGCACGGCACTTGATTAAAACTTCATTGATGCCTACTACAACATAGGAATGTTTCGTACAAAGTCTGAACAAAGACTATACAACATTATACTCCTTTTGTGTGTCAAACCAAGTAGAATTTGAACATGTTTAGGAAAAACAATTTGTTTAATTCCGGTTAGCACGGCACTTGATTAAAACTTCATTGATGCCTACTACAACATAGGAATGTTTCGTACAGTCTGAACAAAGACTATACAACATTATACTCCTTTTGTGTGTCAAACCAAGTAGAATTTGAACATGTTTAGGAAAAACAATTTGTTTAATTCCGGTTAGCACGGCACTTGATTAAAACTTCATTGATGCCTACTACAACATAGGAATGTTTCGTACAAAGTCTGAACAAAGACTATACAACATTATACTCCTTTTGTGTGTCAAACCAAGTAGAATTTAAATATATATAAAGAAAACAATTTGTTTAAGACCGGTTAGCACGGCACTTGATTAAAACTTCATTGATGCCTACTACAACATAGGAATGTTTCGTACAGTCTGAACAAAGACTATACAACATTATACTCCTTTTGTGTGTCAAACCAAGTAGAATTTGAACATGTTTAGGAAAAACAATTTGTTTAATTCCGGTTAGCACGGCACTTGATTAAAACTTCATTGATGCCTACTACAACATAGGAATGTTTCGTACAAAGTCTGAACAAAGACTATACAACATTATACTCCTTTTGTGTGTCAAACCAAGTAGAATTTAAATATATATAAGGAAAACAATTTGTTTAATTCCGGTTAGCACGGCACTTAATTAAAACTTCATTGATGTCTACTACAACATAGGAATGTTTCGTACAAAGTCTGAACAAAGACTATACAACATTATACTCCTTTTGTGTGTCAAACTAAGTAGAATTTGAACATGTTTAGGAAAAACAATTTGTTTAATTCCGGTTAGCACGGCACTTGATTAAAACTTCATTGATGCCTACTACAAATTAGGAATGTTTCGTACAAAGTCTGAACAAAGACTATACAACATTATACTCCTTTTGTGTGTCAAACCAAGTAGAATTTGAACATGTTTAGGAAAAACAATTTGTTTAATTCCGGTTAGCACGGCACTTGATTAAAACTTCATTGATGCCTACTACAACATAGGAATGTTTCGTACAAAGTCTGAACAAAGACTATACAACATTATACTCCTTTTGTGTGTCAAACCAAGTAGAATTTAAATATATATAAAGAAAACAATTTGTTTAAGTCCGGTTAGCACGGCACTTGATTAAAACTTCATTGATGCCTACTACAACGTAGGAATGTTTCGTACAAAGTCTGAACAAAGACTATACAACATTATACTCCTTTTGTGTGTCAAACTAAGTAGAATTTGAACATGTTTAGGAAAAGCAGTTTGTTTAAGTTCGGTTAGCACGGCACTTGATTAAAACTTCATTGATGCCTACTACAAATTAGGAATGTTTCGTACAAAGTCTGAACAAAGACTATACAACATTATACTCCTTTTGTGTGTCAAACCAAGTAGAATTTGAACATGTTTAGGAAAAACAATTTGTTTAATTCCGGTTAGCACGGCACTTGATTAAAACTTCATTGATGCCTACTACAACATAGGAATGTTTCGTACAAAGTCTGAACAAAGACTATACAACATTATACTCCTTTTGTGTGTCAAACCAAGTAGAATTTAAATATATATAAGGAAAACAATTTGTTTAAGACCGGTTAGCACGGCACTTGATTAAAACTTCATTGATGCCTACTACAACGTAGGAATGTTTCGTACAAAGTCTGAACAAAGACTATACAACATTATACTCCTTTTGTGTGTCAAACCAAGTAGAATTTGAACATGTTTAGGAAAAACAATTTGTTTAAGTCCGGTTAGCACGGCACTTGATTAAAACTTCATTGATGCCTACTACAACATAGGAATGTTTCGTACAAAGTCTGAACAAAGACTATACAACATTATACTCCTTTTGTGTGTCAAACTAAGTAGAATTTGAACATGTTTAGGAAAAGCAGTTTGTTTAAGTTCGGTTAGCACGGCACTTGATTAAAACTTCATTGATGCCTACTACAACATAGGAATGTTTCGTACAAAGTCTGAACAAAGACTATACAACATTATACTCCTTTTGTGTGTCAAACCAAGTAGAATTTAAATATATATAAGGAAAACAATTTGTTTAAGACCGGTTAGCACGGCACTTGATTAAAACTTCATTGATGCCTACTACAAATTAGGAATGTTTCGTACAAAGTCTGAACAAAGACTATACAACATTATACTCCTTTTGTGTGTCAAACCAAGTAGAATTTGAACATGTTTAGGAAAAACAATTTGTTTAATTCCGGTTAGCACGGCACTTGATTAAAACTTCATTGATGCCTACTACAACATAGGAATGTTTCGTACAAAGTCTGAACAAAGACTATACAACATTATACTCCTTTTGTGTGTCAAACCAAGTAGAATTTAAATATATATAAAGAAAACAATTTGTTTAAGTCCGGTTAGCACGGCACTTGATTAAAACTTCATTGATGCCTACTACAACATAGGAATGTTTCGTACAAAGTCTGAACAAAGACTATACAACATTATACTCCTTTTGTGTGTCAAACCAAGTAGAATTTAAATATATATAAGGAAAACAATTTGTTTAAGTCCGGTTAGCACGGCACTTGATTAAAACTTCATTGATGCCTACTACAACATAGGAATGTTCCGTGCAAAGTCTGTACAAAGACCATACAACATTATACACCTTTTGCACGCCATATTTTTTCTTAACAAAAAAGCGACATGAGTGAGAATCGCAACTATCGATTAACGAAGTGTCAAAACATTTTTCGAAAAATCGGAAAATAATTAAATATATTGTTTTATGTTAGAGATTTAATCGTGTTTTGATCATTATTGCGTGTAATTTTAAGTTTATTATTTCGTTTAGATTTTTTTCATATTTAGGTATTAAAATGAATGTTGACGACTCGTCAGAGATCGAGATTCAGGCCAATTTAGAAGATGAGGCCAGCGGTGAACCGAAGGAGATGGTCACAGAAAAGGTAATTTTTATGTTTTATTTGAGTGGATTTTAGGTATAAAAAATTTAAGGCATTATGGAAAAACGATAGGCGCATATTTTAATGCTAAATTTTGCATTTGTCGCACCAATTAAAAATTTTATGCTGTGGTATGTTATAATATTGTTTTACGACTCGAGAACAAAAGGGATCATTGCAGCTCAGAAGGCGAACAAAGCTTAACGTGAACGGATGGAGAAGCTGTGGCAAAGCCGCCGGAAGAGTTTGGAACAGGACAAAGTTGTTCCTGAGGCTGTTCAAGGTCAAGACGAGCTGGATATTGAGGTTGCAGGACCTTTGTCAGTGGAACAAAAAGTAATTTTTATGTTTTATTTGAGTAGATTTTAGGTATAAGAAATTGAATTTTAATGTTAAAAAGCAGTTCTTATTAGTGAGTTATCAATATATTGTTTTAGGATGCCTCTACGTCCGAGCTTCGTAAAATGCCCCAGTCAATAGCCAATCGATTTGTTTTGCTCAAAGAGAAAGACAAGCAGATCAAGGCGCTCGAGGATGAAATTAAAGTTTTGAAGCGAAAATTGGCGGAGTTTGCACTGCGATCGCCATCCAAACGAAAGGCGGCTGACGAACTAGAAGCCAAACAACGGGCCAAAAGATTAAAGACCTGTGAACGACATCTAGGACCAAGTTATAGGATTCAACGGGTCGAAGATGTTAACCATGAAGACGACTTTGCCAGCTTATACTGTAGGCATAGTACTAACCTGACCGTGTTCCAATACAACGAAGTCCGGCGATTACAGCTTCAGAAGCTGCAATTAGTACCGTACAGAAGAGTAGAAGACCTGGAACAACGTTTGATTGCTAATGCTGGAGGAATTTCACAAGTCACTTGGTCTATGATTCAAAAGGATTTTGTTGAACATGAGCTAAAGGGAATATTGTAGTTTTTATCATAACTTTGTTTAACTAATAGGTAGAAGGTTGAAAATTGGTGTGAGTCAAGATTATTACATTGAGCAAAATCTATATTGTTATTTCGAGAAAAAATGGCATTTTAAGTTAAAGGTGCCATTTTTAAGCCTAAAATGACATTTTACGATTTTGATTTTAGAGGGGACTATTTTTTGTGTTTAACTGGTACTAACGACCAATTTTTATAAATTTTTCTTGATTTCAAAATTAAATTTTAATTTTTTACTATGGTGGTTTCTTGATATTTTTCATTTTTAGAGAACTGGCTGTCATGCAGCCGGCTGAGTTACTGGCAGCACTGAACAGTAAGTTATTTTAGTTTTTGTTTTTGAATTTTTTTGTGGTTAAGGGGAGGGGATTTCCTTTTTTTCTAAATTTTTTTTCAGATTTTTATCAATTGTTTAACGAAGTTAGCAACATGTTCAATATGAACATATTTCAATTTATAGGTCGGTTATGTACGGGTACTTTTGGGAATTCGATAGTGTTGTAAAGAAAGTTCATACCATTTTTTAAAAATTTTTCATTAGTTTGACCGTTTTTAGAGCGCGACGCTATTGCTGACTCGAGGAATACCGCGACAGACCTGGTCGTCCAACGGGACCAGGTCAACAGTTCGAATACCGGACCAGGTTATCTGGTAGTTCAGACGAAACCCGGAGTCCAAAACAATGCGGTAAGTTAATTTGGCTTTATTTTTAGGTGGAAACTTAGATTTTTATATGTTAATATAGAGCTTGTGGTCGTTTTTATAAGATTTTGGACGTTATAATGAAACTTTTTAATTTTTGATAGTAAAATGGATTAAAATGGCAAAGTTTTCAAAAAAGTTGTTTCAGATTGGTGAACCGGTACAAGGCAGCAACCCCAAGCTGGTCGAAAACCTCCGACGCCTGTTCGACGCTACCCGCGGCCCCTCTAACCCCGACCAAAACTCGCCAAACCCCGACCAAGGATCCGGCCACCAATAACTCCCTAGACTCGAATATTCCATTTTTGCTAGTTACTGATTGATTATACATTATTTTGTGATTAAATCCAAAGATTACCTTGATGCAGTAAAGTATGTGGGTATAGTAAGGTTTTGATGATGTATGAGGGCATATGGTGTGTGGATATAAGAAAGATTAAAAATGGTGTTTTTAATTCAAATAGTGTTCTTTAAGCCTAAAATTCAATTTTAAAAATACAGTATTCGCGACAAAGAAACAGGTTATACGACTCTCCATGATATCCCTATATCAAAAATAAAAAACGATTCCTATGCCCTCGAAACTCAAAAAATTTTATTTATATCCAAAATAGCTGGATTTGACTTCCTTCGACGAACCATCGGTCGATTTTTTGAGTTTTGATTTGTCGACCGACTTCTTCAGTACGTACTCGGAGCGCACTTCGTAGCCGGGTACCATAAAGTACTCTTCGCTTTTTGGTTGTTCCTTCTCTTTTCCCACTTCTGATTTTGTTGACGATTTTTTAGTGACCGAGCTGTGCTAAAAACAAAAAAAATATTGATATAGACATGTGATACTATTAGACATGTTTTATCGTATAACATGTCTCCTTTACCGAGCTCCCACTTGTCTGAGGTTCCGTCTTCTTGGCATTGTTTCTGTGCCAGAGCTTTTTATCTTCCAGTCGATGTGAGTCAAACTTAATATGACTGTTGGATCCTGTAGCAGCCTTCGCGTCCGAAGATTCAGAGGCGAGTGATGCTCCAGAGCTGTGTTCCTCTTCGGCCGCTGTCTTAAAAATTTCCCTATTATGTTAAAATGTTGACTAATTTAATATCAGTCTTTCCCGAAAAGAATGTCTCTTTGCCCGGTGCACAGCCCCTGGGAAAATCGCGCCCCTTTTTATTCCACTGCGCCGTGCAGATTCCCCCGCACGTCAAGAAAAAATAAAAGAAAAACAATTATCCAGAGAAAATCGCTTGGCATTCCGCAACAAGGAGGAACTAATAGTATGTTAACTTCGCGATGTTTTTTCGACGTGTTAAATTACAGATATCACAAAAGTGTTTAATAACAATTAAAAAGCAACACTTCAGTTCCCTAATTTAAAAAATCTCTTTGTGTTTGAGCGCTTAATAAAAATTTGGTATACATATTAAAAATACGTTTTTCCAAACTCTAAAATACGTCATAAGAAAATTTTTCATTAATTTTTTGGTGGGATATTCCTCAGAAAATTATTTTACCTTCTTTTTTATTTATTAAAATATGGATGCTTAATCGTTGCATTTTTTATCTTCTTTATCCTTAAAAAACCTCGAAACTAAATTAATAATAAACCCGAAAGGCATTTTCGAAAAAAGAAAAGCAGAAGAAAAAATATTTTTCCGCTATTTGAGAAACGCCAAAAATCTGTTCAAGACGCAAAAGCAAAATCGTTTTTTCTTGACGTGCCCCGTATTTTTTCGACATGTTAAAGTGCAGATATCACAAAAGTGTTTAATAACAATTAAAAAGCAACACTTCAATTCCCTAATTTAAAAAATCTCTTTGAGTTTGAGCGCTTAGTAAAAATTTGGTATTCATATTAAAAATACGCTTCTTCAAACTCTAAAATACGTCATAACTTTGCAACGAGCACATGAGCAGCTATAGCGGTAGCAACAGTTCGATTAAGGAGGAAAAAAGGAATAATTTGATACTAAGAACGTCTGATTCTATGAAGTAGAACTTGAGTTATCAAGAGATATCAGTTTTATATTATACGTGCGGAAATTTTTCATTAATTTTTTTGACAGGATTTTCCTCTGATTTATTTCCCCTTCCTTTTTATTTAATAAAGATGCTTAATCGTTGCATTTTTACTTTCTTTATCCTTAAAAAACCTCGGAACCAGACATGAGCAACGGGCCGGGCCGGGCCCAATTTTCAAGCCCGGCCCGTGTAATTGAAAAGCGAAATTTGATTAAAGGCTACAGATATGGCAAGGATTACATACCGGTAACCGACTTGGACAGAGAAGATGTTGTGACCGTCCGTGGTTACGGAATTTGTGACGTGAAGGGGTTCCAATAGTAAAGTTATACGAGGTACAGTAGAAGTCAGGGTAGCAATTTATTTAACAGAGTAATACAAATTATATAGAGAATAAGAGTAATAAAGAGTAGTGCTGGTACCAGGAGCAGCGGGTCGTATTGCTGGCTGAATAGGTGTACAAAGGTTGTACTTTTATAGTACTAGAAAGTAGGCGGAGTTTGCACGACTATTTCGAAATGTATTTCGAAATAGCGTTGGCGTGTACTGCGCTTATTGGTTACTTTACGATTTGTCATGATGACTCACATGTATTTCGAAATCTGGTGATTTCGTAACATAGAATAGTACCGTATTATATCTACGTTCTTTTCGTGGTTGTTTTACGAATATTACAAAGACTTCATACCTAAACCGGAGACAAAACAGCTCAAGTTGATTCAGTTTTCACCGAAAGAAAATGTAAGACAATATTTTTTATATTAATCTGTGGTATAAGGAAAAATGAAGTTAATCTTAATGGTTTTTCTACTGAAAATGGATTCGTAACTCCGTTTGACACGGTTTTTTTATTTTTAGGTAACATTTTGTGACTAAAATGAAATGAAAGTATATTTTAGAACATTTGCTAACAACATCAAATTAAAATGACATTGTTTAAAGCCCTAAAGTTTTAGAATAAAAAAAAATATTGTTTTAGATCCTACCGCAATACCTAATGAAAGAAGTCCGCTATTTTCTGTCATACCCAGAAGCCGAAGCTAGCCAAAAGATTCTAATGGAATTGGCAAATGATGTGGTAGCTAAAAACTTGGTCATTTTGTGTAGATACGCGTACAGTGCAACCGCTCATCCAAAAGTCGCCTGGTTGATACCTAAAATCAGCAAAACTGGCGTTCCGGTAAGTTTTTTGGTTTCTTCAAGTTAAGTTTATAATTTTCCGGTCTTTATGCTTTTTGAGATTAACATGAGGTTTTGAGTATTTAAAAATGACTTTTTTAAATTTTTTTGATTTTTAGGTGTTTATTCACTACATCCTGCCTTTTGGCGATGAATGCCGGAACTTGTAAGTTCCTCAATTGGAAGACAATTTCGAACCTCTGTCTAGTCGGATCGCTTCAATTTGCACAAATTGAACTTTCAATCCGAATTTTTATTCACAATCGGTCTTCTTTTTCGTTCCACCGCCGACCGGTCGCTTTCTCGTTCATCGTCTCGTTTTGGGCCGCAGCTTGGCTATCGTAGTTCGTAACATATTCGGTATGTTTAGTCTTGATTTGAGTAAATCTTTTGTGTATCTGATTTTATTGTTTTATTAGGTTGAACGTTGTATTTCAGTCGTAGTCTTGAGTTACGCCATTAGTACACTTTGATCAAACCTTGGCCAGACTAATCTTTCTACACTCTGTCTGGTATTTTTTGTTGATTTTGAATATAAAAAGCATAGAAAAACGCCATTTTTGAAGAAAAAACAGAATTTTTTGGTGAAAAAACGGCCAAATTTTGGGCTTTTTATGCGTTTTTTGCCATTTTCTATGTTTATATGGGCAAAGTTTGATATGAAAAGTATAGAAAACGCTTTACAGGTTAGCAACAAGACGCTATGGACGGTTTTGTGGACAATATGATGCCAAAATCGACCGATTCCGAGCTCAAAACCCTACCAGAAAAGTGCGAACTAAAGAATAAAGCCCTGGATCCGGACATGCCATTGCCAGGAACAGTGGATTTGAAAAATTCGATTCGTAATTTGGAGGGATCAGAGGTTGAAACGGAAGACGTTGTGGATAACATTATGAACTTGCCGGGCGTGCCAGCCGCGGCTGCCTCGTCGGCTTCGGCTGACAAGGTGGCTGCCGGTGACGAGTCAGTCGATAAGACGGCTTCGGCTGACATGTCAGGCGCGGTTGGTGCGACGGCTTCGGCCGACGCATCGTCCGCGTCTGGCGCGCCCGTCAGTGCTGGCCAGAACTACCCTTCGCCGATGCCATCAGTTTGCTGGAATAATTATGGCTGCATTGGTAAGATATTTAACACTCTTATGAGTTTAGGTAGAGGTGAGATTTTTTTGTATAACGGGCTTGACTGACTGCTCATTTTTAGTTTTGGGCGGCAATGCTAACATCACAATCGAAAACAATTACCAGGTAAGAACATTTTAAAATTCATAAAACAATAAATAGGTCTTTATAATAATTGTATACAACTTTATATCCAAATGAATTCTATTTCAATAATAACTTATTAGTCTCCAATTCTATTTTAATACTAACTTATTAACCACATCGTTTTTAGTACCCGAATCCCTACCAACCGACTTTGACTGACCACAGTAACTCAAGTTCACAATTCACAACGTCGTCAATCAATTTACATGAGGATGTTGAATCAACTGTGACTTTAAAACAGTTGTCACTACTGACTAGAGTTACTTATGTTATTGTAAAAATAACCTCGATATTATTATCTCCTCTTCTATGGCCACTTTTGTTAAAGGTAAGGGAACGTTTTTTGGGCCATATATATTAGTAAGGTTACGGTAAAGCTAGAGTAGGATAAAAAAAAGAATGGCTTGAGATTTGATGAGGTTGCTTTAAAGCTAGGTAGGGTTAGTATAACATAAAGCTGGAATAAGGTTTTTGAAGAGCCAGTTAAGGCTAAGGTGTGGCATTACTTAGTCAAAGCTGAGGCCGGTGAAAGGTCAGGGCAAGGCTAAAGCTAGTTGAGATCATAGTACTAAAACATTTGATTTTAGACGTAATTTTTTAAATTTAGGTTATAAAGCCAAATCACAAGGGAGTGCTATACAGCAAGAACAATATCACATTACTTCAACCTGGAGTTCATTTCGTACTGCCTTTTGTTGAGAGTTTAGTAGTGCTTAATGTAAGGCATCAAATTGACAATGTACAGGTAAGATTTATATCGCGTTTCAAGTGGCAAATCACGATTTTTATTATTATCCTTGGGATGGGGCCTTTGTTTAGACTTAAATTACCCGCCCAGCAATAATTTTTTTTTAACTATCTTTTTTCAGGTATACACGTCAGACCTGTACCAGCTGTCTTTATCCTTCAAATATGATCAACAGATAGTCAATTTTCAAAGATATCCATTCAAAGACGCTGAAGATCACATTATTTCACTGATCAGAGCCTGTATATCAGAAGAAACCTGCCAGAACACGATCAAGAACCTGGTAATCATTGAAAAGAAGGTGAATAAGATGATAAAACAAGCAGATTCAGTCTCTGGAGTTAGAGTTTCAAACTTTGTTGTCATAAGAATTGATGTAATTGAGCTTTTAAACCTGAATGTCAATGATTTTTAACAATTTTTTGCTCAATAAATGAGGAATGGCACTATTATTCTTTTATTTTTATAAGCTGTGAGATGCAATTAAGGTAGAGAAAAGAACTTTGTTTCATTTGAACCGAATTTTTCAATTTTACAATGTTTTGTTGAAATTTTGAGCTTTTGGACCAAAAAATTAAACTATTTTAATATGTTATCAGAATAGGATCAAATGAAGAAGAATTCAGAAGAGGAAGAGGAGTACGACAGGGTGATGCTATTAGCCCGATACTCTTTATACTGGGCCTACAATATGCTCTAGACAAGATTGACTGGCAAGAAATGGGGATTGACATAAATGGAACGAAGCTGAGAATACTAATTTATGCAGATGACATCACAATTCTGGCGAACAATACGGAAGAACTAAAAGAGATGACAGAAAAGGTAGAAGAAGCGACGAAGAGGATTGGACTCAGATTGAATAAAGAGAAGACATGCTGGATGGGAAATGTGGAAGGAGTACTGAGAATTCAGAATCTGGAGATTCAGAAGACCGAGAAGTGCAAATATTTGGGTCAGACGTTGACGTTTCCAAATGAGCATAGCGAAGAGATAAAGGACAGAATCAGAAGTGGATGGTGCAAGTTCCAGGAAGTTAAATGGCTGCTGATGAACAAGAAGACTCCCACATCACTGAAGGCGAAATACTACAAGATGTGTATTGAACCCGCGTTGCTGTACGGGGCAGAAACTTGGGCATGGACAAAAGCGGATCGAATCAAGCTCAGCAGAAGTCAAAAGAAGATGGAAAGAATGATGTGTAATGTAAAGTTAAGATGGGGAATTAGAAGCAAAAGAATAAGAAGATGGACAGGTCTAGATGAAGTGGTGGTGAAGGCAACGGAAAGAAAGTGGAAGTTTGGAAGGAGTGTAGTCAAAATGCCTGAAGATAGATGGGAAAGGAAAATTACGACCTGGAAACCTGATGGCAAAAGACCGATTGGCAGACCTCGTACACGGTGGCAGGATGAGACAAGGAAGAAGGTTGGAATAGACTGGATGGAGGCGGAAGATGGAAGATGGCAAGAAGCTCTCAGGCACTACACCGAAGAAATCAAAGATTATTGTCACATTTAATTTCAATGTTATGATTTTATTTGTATTTGATGGTTGAGCTAGTAAATAAACTGAAACTAAACTGAAAAGAACTTTGTTTCATTTGAACCGAATTTTTCAATTTTACAAGTTTTGTTGAAATTTTGAGCTTTTGGACCAAAAAATTAAACTATTTTAATACATTTTGAAAATTTTAAAATTTTCAGTTTAAGAACTTTATTTCAAATCGACCCGGCCTCATTTTGCATGGTCAAAGCCATAAAACAAATTTTCGAAACCGTGGCTGACAGGGAAAGTACCCTACGCTCAGAATCAGCTCAAAATTTTTATATGAACTCCTTGAACCATCAGTAGTACCCATAAAAACTTTTAGCTCGCACTTTTGAGTTTTAAATTTGAATTATTTTGGTTTCCCGCCAATTTGGCAAATTTGGCATTGTGTTTCAAGCACTTTTTTTGACTTTTCAACCAAGCTACGCGTACAAATTTAACAATGTAGATTCATTTAAAGATATTATACTAGTAAATCAAAAAAAATGATTAAACGTCAAAGAATGACAAAGTCATAAGCTTGAAACACAATGCCAACTTGTCGGGAAATTCAAAACGCAGGTTTTTTGTTTCGATTTTCTCGAGGATTTCTGGAAAGCGCGATTTAGTACTTTGCTGAAGATCTTATATTTTCATAAACTTTCTATAAAAAAAAATTTGGAATCAATCAGAGCGGGGCAGGTCGGGTACCTTCCTTATGAGGGGACCGGGTCTGCAAATGTGGGCTCGAGGGCCGGGGTCCAAAACAAGAATGAAAGATTGGCCTAGTTTCTTTACAGTTTTAGTTGTGTATTACGTTTATCTGAAAGATTTGTGTTGTAAAGACTAGTTATGGTTTTTGATTATGATACAGTGAAGCCTCTGTATAACGAATCGCTAGGGGAAAAATCGGCACTGGTAGCTACCTGTGCCGATTTTCTGCGAAAATTTTTTTTCCAAAAATCCACAGGGGGGGGACCACGTTCAAATTTTTTCGAAAATTTTTTTCTGTGGCTTTTTCTGCTTTAGTCTACGTTAAAATACTCTAATTTACCCTGTCTTCTCTTTCTTTGCCCTAGTTTACTCTACCCTACTATTTCCTACCTTATCCTACCCTGCTATTTCTTAATATACTCTAACCTAGACTACAGCACTTAGTCTATCTACTTTCCTATCGTCTTTAGGTGTTTTAAGGTAACCTAAAAGAACAATGTGTAGCAGAGTAGAGATCAATGTGACTATAATAGTCTAAACAACAAGAATTTAAAGACTTTTTGTGATTATTTAATGTGTAAATCTTCTGATTCTTCGGATTTTATTGCGCAATTCGAGGGAAATGCAAAACGATGATTAAAGCAAGTAAAAACGATCGACTGGTTTCATCTGTGGGTTATTTAATCGACAAGGGAATTAGGCTAATGAGTCAAAAAGGTTAATTAGCTAGCTGTGGAAATTTTGAATTGACTTTTGTTTTTTAAAATTGATAGCAGGGTAGGGTAATTTAAGGTTAATATAGTAGGGGTAGAGTAGCGCTGGGTTTTGTAGGGTACGTTAGGGTAGGGTAGAGTAGGGTAGTTTAGGGTTAATATAGTAGAGGTAAAGTAGGGCTGGGTATTGTAGGGTAGGGTAGGGTAGGGTAGGGTAGGGTAGGGTAAGGTAGGGTAGGGTAGGGTAGGGTAGGGTAGGGTAGGGTAGGGTAGGGTAGGGTAGGGTAGGGTAGGGTAGGGTAGGGTAGGGTAGGGTAGGGTAGGGTAGGGTAGGGTAGAGTAGGGTATGGTAGGGTAGGGTAAAGTAGGGTAGGGTAGGGTAGGGTAGGGTACGGTACGGTACGGTACGGTACGGTACGGTACGGTACGGTACGGTACGGTACGGTAGAATAGAATGAATAGAATGGCTAAAACTTTGTGTAGAACACATTGTAGCTTGTTTCAGAATGTCAGACACTACTTCGACTGATCACAGTAACTCAAGTTTACTGTTCAAAACGTCTTCAATCAAATCACATGAGGATGTTGAAGCAACTGTGACTTTGAAACAACTGTCATTACTGACTAGAATTATTTATGTTATCATAAAAATTACATCAATATTATTATTTCCTCTTCTATGGCCACTTCTGTTAAAGGTAAGTGAACGTTTCTTGGTTGGTATATGTTAGTAAAGTACAGTAAATCTAAAGTAAGATACAAAAAGGAATGGCTTGTGATTTGATAAGGCTTTACTTAGTCAAACCTGAGGTCAGAGCAAGGCTAAAGTCAACCCAAAGCTAAACACAATTAACGCTTGAGCAACATTAAGCTTAAAGTAATACTAAAGCCAGGGCAAGTGCTAAATTTTTAAATTTAGGCTATAAAGCCAAATCACAAGGGAGTGTTATATAGCAAGAACAACACCGCAGTACTTAAACCTGGAGTTCACTTCGTACTGCCTTTTGTAGAAAGCTTAGTAGTTCTAAACGTAGAGAAACAATCACATCAAATTGACAATTTACAGGTAAAGTTTATATAATATTTCCAATGATATATCAAAGTTTTTATCATTATCTGTTACTTTCGAGCTTTAGTTTGGGCTCTAGGGCCTTCTCTTGAGCTGATGGTCCTCAGGCACACGGGTGCTGGCTCGGCTTTTTAAATTTTTATTTGTCCGGCCTAGCCTTTTCCAGAACAAGACCGGGCTAGTAAGCACACTTTCAGTTCTAGTGTACCAGCCCTTCCCTTTAGACTTACGTTACGCGCCCAACAATACGTTTTTACCACATCTTTTTTCAGTTATACACTTCAGATCTGTACCAACTATCTGTATCCCTAAAATATGATCAAAAGATAGTCAATGTAGAAAGATATTCCTTCAAAAAGGCTGAAGATCACATTATTTTACTGATCAGAGCCTGTATATCAGAAGAAACCTGCCAGAACACGATCAAGAACCTGGTAATCATTGAAAAGAAGGTGAATAAGATGATAAAACAAGCTGATTCAGTCTCTGGAGTTAGAGTTTCAAACTTTGTTGTCATAAGAATTGATGTAATTGAGCTTTTAAACCTGAATGTCAAAGAAGAAGCGGCAGAAATCAGTTGGGAAGACGAGGAAAAGTTGTGTGAAGAAGCCAAGAAAGCCGCTGAACTACTGGATCACAACCCAATGGCGCTACAGCTGAGGATTCTGAGGTCCGTGGAGCAGAATGGGTAAGGTTTTAGCTTTTAGTAACGCCTGAGGGGATGGGTAGTGCGGGTGGTTTAATTCTGAAAGGAAAGTGAAAAAAAAGTAATCAACAGGGGGACCAAATTCAAACTTATTTGGAAAAAAAAAATTATTATTATTTAAAAATTTTTATTTTTAAGGAATGCCATTGTCAAGTTTTTCTATTTTTATAGCCGGGGGGGGATTCATTTAAGATAGAGAAGTGACGTTTGTGTTTTCTTTACCTAATTTCTCGATTTTACCATGATTTTTACAAATTTTGAACTTTTTGATCAAAAAATCAAAATATTTTTTAAATTATTTGAAAATTTCATGATTTTCAATTTAAAAAATTCATTTTCAATTGACTCGACCTCATTTTGCATGGGCAAAGCCATAAAACAAGCTTTCGAAAGCGTGGCTGAGTGGTCTAGTGGTATGATTCTCGCTTCGGGTGCGAGAGGCCCCGGTTTCGATTACCGGCTCAGCCCAAACCCTTTTGGCCGGATTTCTTTTGGAAATCTAGCTTTAAAACTTTAAAAAATATGTCTTATGCATATAAAAATGCTATTGTTTAAGTTTTTTGCTATTTTTTAAAATTATTCTTTTTAAATTAAAAAAAATGAAGTTTTAAAAAATTTTTTAAATTTTAAATTTGCAAAACTTTTTTTTAGAAAGCAAAACTACAATTTGGTAATGCCAATGACAGCAAACCAACCAGAAGTTTATGGTCATCAAACCGCGCATTCGATAATTGGCGATTTTACCAGGCGATCTTCCTATAGGTATCAACGGATATACATGAGCCCACCTCATACTGATCCTATTTATGACAGAATAGTATGATATTCGTAAAATAATAAACATATATTATTAAAATGCTTTTATAATATTGGGTTTTATTGGGGGAACGTATTTTAAGTAGCTATTTGTCGTTCTGGAACGCTATGAGGGTCCTGCGAACTGCGGAGCAGCGGGCGCGAGTCGGGAAAATAAAGAATATTTTTCGAAACAAATTTTTGGACAAAATTTTGTTTTTATCAGTTAAAAAAAGTAAAAAGAAGTTTTACTTGAATGTAGACTTGTTTATCTTCTTCTTCTGATATTATTTTAGGTATTCCTTTCTGAATTCCGCTTGTTTGAAAGGATTTAACTTGATTTAGCTTATGTTATGTTAGCTTTGCTATTCAACGTGTTTTTCATGTTTCTTCGTGTAAATTTGAAGTAATATTTTAATTCCAAACATTATAGGGTAAGTTAAGATGGCAAGGAAGGCTATAGAATTGGCTACAATTCTAATAGACCGCAATGAAACAGCGAATGAATCACCTTTGACTAACGTTAACTTTGAGACGGACTTCGAGTCTTCATTGATAATTTCTGACCTTCTCCTTAGTCGTAAAGTAAGAAAATATATATTAGAAGCTTACTAACTTAGATTTTATCACAATCCACAGATCAATATTCGGTGGTAACGTTCGGATCAACAGGAATTTCGACAGTTCGAGACTTCGGAACGGTAGACTTCAAAGCATTGGAAGAGTTGAAGGAAATCAAGCCTGGAGTGGAATATGACACATCTTGTAGGTTCTTTTTTATGTGTTTTTTGGTTTTTAGGTTTAAGAGATGGAGGCAAAAGAAAGCTAAAAGGGTGTGTAAATGGCATGGATAATATAAATTTAGTTTTATCTTCATTCTGACGGTGTGTAGTGTTTTCTTTTTGTAGAAAAAATAATGAAGATTTTTACAGTTTATTTTGTAGCAAAAAAGATTTAAGGTCTAAAAAAATAAAAAGAAAGATAGTGTTTTTCAATACCTGGTGTTAAGTGTAATATAAATTTAAGCATAACTTTTGTTTCCTATATTAAATACAATTGAACTTTTGAAATAGGAATAAAAAAGGAACATCCTGCTTATGATAAGGTTACCAATTTAAAATTTTGACAAAAAATTATGTAACAGTTTAAATTTTGATTTGAGTATATCTGTTTACATTGTTGTTATATCGTGCTGAACTAGTGTTTAATAGGAGCGTTTTAAGAGTATTTTGTTGTAGTTAAAACCTTTTCAATAATTTTAACGTATATTTTGAAAAAAAAACTGATTTTTTGATATTAATCTTCATATCAAGCTAATATATTTTTAGTTGTAACAGCTATCCAGCAAGCGTTAACTGGATTTGATCAGTTCACCAGGGATGCTCTAAAGAAAAAGATTGCTGGAAGGACGATTTTGCTGCTCAGTAACTTGAAAAGCGCAGATGAAAAGGATCTTACCAACAAAAATTCCCTAAAGTTGGCTAGTATGCTGTCCAAAGAGCATGTAGACCTGATTATTGGGTATGATTTTAACATTTTTATGTTTTGATTTTTAGAAAAGAGAGTGGAGAATGTATTTGAATACAAAAGATCATGTTAAAGCTGCGGAATCACATTGAAAACAGCTAAAATGATATTGTTTTAGGTCTCCAGATATTCTTTTGGAAGACAAGAGCTCTGCCGCGTTTCAATTCATTCAAACTTTGGCTAGCCAAGCGTCGGTTCAATGGTTATCATTCTCCGAATGTTATACTAGGTTCGAGGACTTTAATCCAAGACAAACTCAGCCAAGAGGTCAGCCGTTTGAGCTTGAACTAGGACCTGAGGTCAAGGTGAAGGTTCAGATGTATGTGAAGAACACGAATCTGAAACAGCAGTGGAAATATGACATTTGTGATAGTAGGGGCAAACAGGTAGGTATTTTTTACAAATATTTTTGTTTTGGCATGGGTAGAGCTTTTAAAAAAGTAGGGCAGGGTAGAAAAATTTTTTTGATTTTTTTTAGTTCACAAAGCATTTCCATTTCAAAACCAACCCAGATGTGAAGGTATCAGCGGCTGAACTAGACAATATGCCAGACGAGATGATAAAAGATGGCACTCTTATCAAATCAATGCAAGGCCGAGTCATTGAAAAGCGAAATTTGATCAAAGGCTACAGATATGGCAAGGATTACATACCGGTGACCGACCTTGACAGAGAAGACTTCGTACCTAAACCGGAGACAAAACAGCTCAAGCTGATTCAGTTTTCACCAAAAGAAAATGTAAGACAATATTTTTTATATTAAGCTGTGGTATAAGGAAAAATGAAGTTAATCTTAATGGTTTTTCTACTGAAAATGGCTTCATCTCTCCGTTTGACACGGTTTTTTTTTATTTTTAGGTAACATTTTGTGCCTAAAATGAAATCAACGTCTATTTCAGAACATTTTCTCACAAAATAACATTAAAATGACATTGTTTAAAGCCCGAAAAGTTTAAAAAATAAAAAAAATTGTTTTAGATCCTACCTCAATACCTAATGAAAGAAGCTCGCTATTTCCTGCCATACCCAGAAACCGAAGCTAGCCAAAAGATTTTAATGGAAATGGCAAACGATTTGATAGCGAAAAAATTGGTTATGTTGTGTAGATACGCGTACAGTGCAGCCGCTCACCCAAAAGTCGCCTGTTTGTTACCTAAAATCAGCAAAACTGGTGTTCCGGTGGGTTTTTTTGTTTCTTCAACTTAAGTTTATAATTTTAAGGACGGCCTTTATGATTTTTGATATTAAAATGGCGTTTTGAGTATCTGGAAATGACTTATTGTTTAATTTTTTTTTGATTTTTAGGTATTTATTCACTACATCCTGCCCTTTGGCGATGAATGCCGGAATTTTGAGTTTCCGCAACTGGAAGACAATGTCGAACTTTTGTCAGGTATTGTTTGTTGATTTTGAATATGAAAAATGCTCTTTTTGATAAGAAAAAGGGGAAAAATTGAATTTTTTGGGGGAAAATGGCAAAATTTTGGGATTTTTTCTAATTTTTTGCGGGGTTTTTGAATGTTTGTTGCTATTTTTTATGTTTATGTTGACAAACTTGATCTGAAACGTAAAGGAAAATGCTTTACAGATTACCAACAAGACGCCATGGACGATTTCGTGGACAACATGATGCTAAAATCGACCGATTTCAAGCTGAAAATCCTACCAGAACCCAAGTTTATGCACGAGTGCGAACTCCTAAAGCATAAAGCCCTGAATCCGAACGTGCCATTGCCAGGAACGGTGGATTTGAAAAAGTCGATTCGTCATCTATCCCGACCAGAAGCTGAAACGGAACAAGTCGTGGATTCCATCATGAACTTGGCTGATGCTTTTCCACTTCAAATTGATCCGAATACCAAATCGACTCACTTTATCGGCCGAACCTTGGGCCAACAACTGCCTATGGAGATCCTGGAGCAGGTGAAGAAACAAGAATGATTGGTGGTACTTGATTTTCAAGTATAATATCGAGTTTTTGGCGAATATTATCAATTTATTGGCTGTGAACTCGAGTTTTCATGTTTAATATCGTCGGTTTTTCGGCTATGATATCTAACTCACAATGTAAATATTTAAATGATGTCTAACCTTCAATGTAAATACACATGTAATAGATAGTATGACTGGAAACTTTTGATAACAGGGGACTTATCAGCTTTTGGAATATAAAATTTTATTAAAATATATTAAACAGTGCATCAAATACTGTTAGAAAAGCCTAAAGTAATATAAAACAACCCGTTTAAGGGTTGTTTTATAAGTGAACTCAATAATGATAATAAAAAGAAACAGAGATCTTAAATAATGTACCGGCAAAACAGGCTTAATACAAAATATCAAAGGAACAAGCCTACGATAATATACAAATTAACAACGACCTAAGAGTATAACAAACGAACAACAACCTAAACTAATATGAGACTGTAACAACAACCTAAAATAATATAATATTATAACAACGGCCTAAAATAACAAATAATCTACAACAATTCCGGTGAGACATAGTCAAAGTCATAAAAATCTTCTGAGTCATAGCATTGGCCTAACAATTGTAAGTTCTCTTTATTATTGGCACAATACGCACGATCCATGACCTTAACTTTGAATGGTGCACACATTGTTTGTTTTTCCAAGGCTTCAAAGTCGATAAAGTTGAATAATTTGAGGCCTTTAAGTTGTGCCAGACCGCCAGCACGCTTTTCTGGGTCCTTGACTAGCAACTTCTTTAGCAGCTCTGTCAAGCCTTGATTACATTTGGGGAGTTTGATTGGGTTTTGAACTATCTATAATGTAATCGTATAGGTTTTGGTCGTGAAAGTTTGATTTTTTTGGTAGAGTGGGTAGAGCTAGATACGGATAGAGCTTGTTTTCTCTTCACTACTTACATTTCTCTCAAAGTCTTCATCGTCATGGTCTATCATTGCTCGTCCAGCGGCCATGAAGAACACACAAGCGCCCAAAGCCCACCAATCCACCATATGTGTGTATCCTTTGCGCAAAAACACTTCTGGAGCCATGTATTCCGGGGTTCCAATAAGCGAATGCATCTTCATATCACCATCTTTTGGCAAAAACTTGGCACCTCCAAAGTCGACAAGCTTAACATAGCCATCGCAATTCAATATGATGTTTTCTGTCTTCAAATCACGGTGACATACAGAAGCCGAATGCAGGTAGTCGACTGCCATTATTAGTTGAGCTGATATGAAAGCGACCATTTTGGGCGGAAGACGAGCGTTCTGGGTGATAATGTCGAATAAGTCACAGCCTTCGACGTGTTCCATCACCATATGAATCATATTATTGGTGTGGAAGACGTAGAAGAGCCGGACGACATGTGGGTTGTTCAAACTTTGTAGCGTGTCTATTTCATCCATTATGGCATGTGGGTTTTGGTTTTCTTCATCTTCTTCACGCTGCTTTTCAATGTACTTCATTGCATACCTCGTTCCTTTGTCGATGCCTTGTGTTTTTATGACTAATGATACCTGAAAGTATGATAAAATGAGATAATGGTACGATGATTAAGGCTTGTTAAAGGTAGGGGAGGGCAGGGTAGGTAGGGTATAGTAGAGTACAGTAGAGTATAGCAGAGTAGGGCAGGGACTAAAACTTATGAATATAAAGGATGAGTAAGTTAGGGACAAGCAAACGTGCTTCTCGTAGACCTGTAAAGGGGCCGGGCTTGGATTTTGGCCAGGGCCCTTGGACTCACATAAGCTGGCTCGGCCTTTTTAAAATTTACTTCTGCCCGGGCCGGGTCTAGTGGATCCTCCCCTTTCAGGTCTAGTTTCTCAAGTAAGCTAAAGACAAAAAGAGGTCTGACGTATAAATAGGACTAACAATTGTAACTTTCCTTTGTAAAGAACAACAGTTGTTAGTTAAGCCAAGGAAAAAGCCAAAAGTGGTAAAAAAAAGTTGATGTAGGTATACATTAAGTGCCGACATAAAGAACCCGCCATAATTTGCCTGTCCTGTAAAAAATGGCGGGTTCTTTATGTCGGAACCTAATATTCTAAATATAGCTAGAGTAGCCTCAATAAACTAAAGATTTGGTGAATTGGGTATTACGCTGGTTTTGAAGTTATACATGAGAAAGAGGCCTGCCCGGCTTTGAGCAAAGTTTAGATCGGGCTGGGCTTGAAAAACCGTTTCTCATGTCTATTTGAAGTAGGACAGTGCGTTTAAAAGCCTTGACCTGTAAGTTTTTTTCGTCACATCGGCTATTTTGCTTCGTATAGGTACGGGTAACAAAGTACCCATACCTATACGAAGCAAAATACAAAATTTACTACAATAACAACCAAAACTTACAAATCCAAACGATCCTTCGCCAATAAACTTGACGTGCTCGAATTGTGACACTGGGGCAACAGTTGGGGCCATTTTAAGAAATTCGAACAGTGTTTTAACCCAGTAGAAGATGTAAAAGTAAAGTTGGATAAACATAAGTTTAATAAAAAGCCTGATCAAAAATGGCGTTATTTATTTTATTCTGCACACAAATTGAGGCGTATGCGAAAGGACAACTGACAGTATAGGTTGCATAAGGTTTCGTAGGTAGCCGGAGGGTAGAATGCATAAGGTTTCGTAGGTAGTTGGCGGGTAGGGGGCTTGTTTTAGGTAATACAGTGTGTTTCAAGAAATTTGTAACTTTTTAAAAATTTATTGCTTACTAGGGGATTGCACCAAGTATCCCTCGGCTTTTTGAACGAGACCTATACAGGGTGCGTAAAAAGTGGTGTTACCAAACTTTACCGGTCGTTTTCTCTATGTTGCGGTTAAATTATTTAAAATTTTTTATTTTGTCTTATAGGATGAAAGAGCATAAAAAGTTACCGGGAAAACAATTTTCAAAAACTGCTAAATGGCCTTGGCTAGCCAGTAACAGTACGCTCTATATCCTTACCTGTTTAAAAGGTATAGTTTTAAGTTCGAAAAATTATATTTTTTGATAATTATTGTTTTTCTAAAAGTGTCTAAAAGCAAAAAATATGGCTTAAAAAATATTTTTTTAATCAAAATATTTTTTGGCTAGCCAATACTTCTTGTAATAATTGCTGTGCGCCAAAAGGAAACCGACGGGATTCGAACTCAACTCCTTCTGCACTCCAGACTAACTTCTTAACCACTCGACCACACTGGATTAAAGCTCCAACGTATTCGTTTTGCCCAAGACGAATCAGAAAGGTCAAATAGATACCCGTACCCTACTTTACCCTACCCTTCTCTACTCTCCCCTACCATACCCCGACTCCTTTGCTTTGAGTGGGGCACAGAATTATTTGAACAACCAAATAATTTGTTAAAAATCAATTTTTCAGATAGGCTACCATTCAAAACCAACCGCAATCTAGTCAGGAATCTTTACAAACTTCTACTGATTACTTCGCTACTACTTGTACTAACCTATGTGTTTCTCTACCTACTGATAAACAAACCCTCTTCAGCGGACTTATTCACAAAAATGATTGCGAAACCGTCAGCCAAGAAGAGCGACTACTTTATTCGACCGGTCGGAACACAGGATTTGAAATGTGATTGGGTTATGGACGGTGAACATGATCAATATGTTAAACAGTTAGCTGAAAAGAGGTATGGATTGGTATTGTAGGTAAAAATTAGGGGTTTGAGTAGGTATTGTTTGGTGCTTTAGGTAACATTTAGCATTTAAATAGGTATAGCTCAGTATTTTAGGTAACATTTAGTCTTTTAGGCCTTCTAACAGCCTTTTCTATACCAAAACTTCACTGTAATACCTACTTACCGCCCTATAACATCAATACCTCTAAAGAAAGCCCCATTCCAGATACCGAATCGAGGACCCCGACTCGCTAGACGACCTCCCAATGGACTGCCAATCCATAAAAGCCAGACATCATTTCCCGGACCAGCCCTCCTCTCCATTCGAAGCCGACTTCCCGTACGCTGTAGCCAGGAACGTGTACAAGGACTACTACTACCTGGAGCTGGTCCTGGCCGCCACCTACCAACCCCAAAACTGCTACTGTTACGCCATCGACCGGTCGGCCGACCACTTGTTCCGGGCCCGGCTGAAGGCGTTGGCCAAATGTTTGCCGAACGTGATCGTGGCCACCGAGTACCGTGACATGGACAGTGCTGGCCATCGAATGGACCTGGCTCACATCGACTGTTTGAACGTGCTGAGGAACGGCACGATGAAGTGGAAGTATGTTCAGCTGTTGCAGGTGGTTTTTAGTATTAAGAGGGGTGGTTTTGAAGTAGGGTAGGATAGGGTAAAGAAGGGTAGTGTAAGGTAGGGTAGTTAAAAATGTCATACTTTCAGAATCATGACTTCCCAACCAAGACCAATTATGAAATGGTGGCGATCATGAGGTGGCTGAACGGCTCAAATGCTGTCGATGTTGGCAAAGAGTGTGGCAGACTCAATAAGGATTTGGATTGGACCTTGCAGAGCTTGGGAATCTTTAGGAATAGTAAGTTTTTTTTTGTAAAGAAAGTTTTTGCCATTTTCTGATTTGTAAAAAAAGTTCTTGCCATTTTCTGACTTGTGAAGAAAGTTCTTGCCATTTTCTGATTTGTAAAGAAAGTTCTTGCTATTTTTGCTTTGTAAAGAAAGTTCTTGCCATTTTTTGTTTTGTAAAGAAAGTTTTTGCCATTTTTTGATTTGTAAGGAAAGTTATTGCCATTTTTTGTTTTGTAAAGAAAGTTTTTGCCATTTTTTGTTTTGTAAAGAAAGTTCTTGCCATTTTCTGATTTGTAAAGAAAGTTCTTGCTATTTTTGCTTTGTAAAGAAAGTTATTGCCATTTTTTGTTTTGTAAAGAAAGTTTTTGCCATTTTTTGTTTTGTAAAGAAAGTTCTTGCCATTTTCCACATAAAAAACGTACTTTATACCTATATTAAACTAGTTCAGCTTCAAAACTAGACCAAATCTTAAAAACCTGGAACTCCACTTTGCCTCCAAGAATCACGTTCGCCACAGGCTACAATGAGGTGACGATAAGTCGAGAAGCCGCTGACTACATCCTCACCGAACTCAACTTAACTAAGCTCATTGATCAGTTTGATGATCCGAAGATCTATGGCGTTGATGAGTTCGCCTTCACAACGATATTATCCATGGAGCTGCTGGGTATACCAGGCAGTTTCACTCAGCATTGTCTTGAAAAGGTACGGGAAACAATGTCTATCACAAGGTATACCAATTGGATCAATCATACCCAGTGCAACACCGGCTATTATCGACATACCATCTGTATTCATGGTGTGGAAGACCTACGACCGGTGGTGAACAATGTGAAGGAGCTGTATATCAATAAGTTGTTGCCGGAGTTTGACTTTAATGGCGTGGTATGTTGGCTTGAAGTACTGTATAATAGGACGTACTTGGAGGAGAGGACGGTGAAGGGGTTGGATCAGAAGTATTATCAAGGATTGGCTCATGTAAGTGTAGTTACATGGTAAAAGTGGGAATGAAGAAGGTAGGGTTAGGTTGATGATAGGCTTGGGTAGGTATAGGGATGGGTAAAGGCTAGGCTTGGGTAGGTATAAGGCTGGGCAGAAGCTAGGTATAGGTAGGTATAAGGCTAGGTAGAAGCTTGGTATAGGGTTGGATAAACGATAGGCTTAGATAGGTATAGGTTAGGTAAAGACTAGGCTTGTACTAGGATAAGGCTGTTAGAGGCTAGGACTCAGATAGCTATAGGGCAGGGCAGAGGCTTGGTTTGGATAGGTATAGAGCTTGATAAATGGCTAGAGTAAGGCTAGAATCGTGTAGGTATTGGGCTGGGTAGAGGCTAGACCTGGGCTCTTATAGGGATGGGTAGAGGCTAGGCTTACGTTGGTATAGGGCTGAGTGGAGGTTATACTCGGACTGGGATAAGGTTGGTAGAGGCTAGGCTTGTGATAGGTACAGGGCTTTATAAAGAGTTAGGTTAAGTCTAGAATTTGATAAGTATAGGACTAGCTAGAGACTAGGCTTGGGTAGGCAAAGGGATCAGGCAGAGACTAGAGACACTGTAAAGCAAGCTATGGCAGGTTAGTCACGGTAGTATTGATATAGAAATGGGTTATCTATGTTATATTAGGTGCCGACATAAAGAACCCGCCATACTTTGCCTTAATTTCCTGTAAAGAATGGCGGGTTCTTTATGTCGGCACCTAATATTAGGGTAGAGAGCAATGTGACAGGAATTTCAATGTTGAAAACATCATTTCAGGTCCGATACCAAGCCTTAAAAGACGAAAATGGTCAAGTTCCAGCCGAAAAACTAGCCAATTTCTCCTGTACTGCATGACAAATGAATGGTAACCGTTTAATAACGATATAAATATTGACTTTTATCTACGTAATCTTTTGGTAGGGCGGGTAGGGTAGGGTTAGGGTAGGGTAGGGTATTTTAGGGTATTATAGGGTAGGTCTATCAAGTTTTTATAAATAAAATTTTAATTAAACTATAAATTACATGGTTATATTAACATACAAAACAAAGTACAACAATGTACACAAGATTAAGCTCAATCATAGCACCTCACGTATTAGATGCCGACATAAAGAACCCGCCACATTTTGCCTGTAATTTCCTGTAAAAAATGGCGGGTTCTTTATGTCGGCACCTAATATGCCATTTAGAATGTGACTATAGCCTAAGCAGCATCCGGATGCTTGGCCAGATAGTCCTGTCGAGCCTTTTCCAATTCGGCTTCTAATGAAATACCGTACTTTTGAGCGTGCTGATCTAACAAATCGTTGTATTGTTTGTAGGCTTTCTGGACCTGAGCTGGCTGGCCAGCGACAAGTTCGTCAACTAAAGCTCTTCGTTCTTTTGGGGGTAGATCGCCACGGGATAGGAGTTCTAACATGGCCTGGAATGGTTTTAATAATATTGTTTTTTGTTTTGTAAAGAAAGTTCTTGCTATTTTTTGTTTTGTAAAGAAAGTTCTTGCTATTTTTTGTTTGTAAAGAAAGTTCTTGCTATTTTTTGTTTGTAAAGAAAGTTCTTGTCATTTTATGTTTTGTAAAGAAAGTTCTTGCCATTTTTAGCCCTGTAAAGAAAGTTTTTGCCTTTTGGATTTTCATCGTATAAAATGTCTCCCGCAGCCTGCAGACGCCATTTTTAATAATACAATGCCAATTTTATGTTCGTTGCGGGACCTGAGCTGCGCCTCTATGACGTTAGTTTGGGGCTCGGCTTTTGGGTCCACATGTGCCGGCTTGACTGCCTTTACATTCGCTTTGGGGCAGGGCAGGACAAGAAGTGATAGGGCACGACAAGGCAGCCTGGCTCAAACTTAATCCTCTTCAAGTTGGAGCCTGGCCGGGCCTAGTAGGCTCTGTTTCGTGCCTAATAGGAACGGGGCAGGGGTAAATTTTTTGTAAAAGTAGGGGTGGGGACTAACTTCAAGTTTTTACAAAAAAAAATTGTCAAATTTGTTGGGGGGGGAGAAAAATAAAAATGAAGGGGGGGGAGAAAAATAAAAATGAAAGGGGGGGGGAGAAATATAAGAAAAAAATTTTAAGCTTTGCTTACCAACTTCCCTTCATCTGTAGCACCTTTCATGAAAATAGGCAACGGAATCTCTTTGGCCACGACCTGTCCGACCAACATGACACACAATACGACACCAATCACGGTTTTCATTGTCAAATTTACAAAATATGCCAAAATATAACGATACCAAATGACAATGTTAAACTGACGAAATGACAAACTATAGCTATATCATGTCCAATTTATAGAACATACGACAATATGTTTGCTCAACTGACAACGTCCACATCCATTGTGCGTTTCGTATCCCGATTCTATTATTAATTTGAACATATTTGAACACGAATGTTCTCGTCTGACGCAAACACTGCTGGAAGGCAAGATTTGCAAAACTGGTTTTTGAAATTAAAAAAAAAATTTTTTATTAGGTGCCGACATAAAGAACCTGCCAAACTTTGCCTGTAATTTCCTATAAAAAATGGCGGGTTCTTTATGTCGACACCTAATAATTTTAAATTTTAAAACATTATTTTGTACACCTACCTTAACCATAGCTCAAGCCTAACGTGAGATTGAGCTTTGACCTTAAGGTTAGCCTGAGGCTTAGCTGAAACTTAAGCCCAAGCCTGAGTCTGAACCTCAACCTGCTCATGAGTTTGAATTTTGAGCCTTGAGTTTAAGCCGGAACCTAAGCTTTGATCTCATCTTGAGCCTAAATCTAAGCTTTAGTTTTGAGCCTGACCTTGAGCTTGAGCCTAATGTTAAGTCTAAGCTTTAGCTTGACCTTGAGTGTAAGCCTAAACCTTAACTTGACCTTGAGCTTGAGCTTGTGACTGAGTATGAACTAAAGCCCCGACCTGAGCTTAAATTTAAAATTGGGCTTTAAGCTTAAGCCTGTGCATGTGCCTAACCTTCAGCTTGAGCCCAATGTCTTGCCTCGCCGTTGCCTTGCCTTGCCTTGCCTTGCCTTGCCTTGCCTTGCCTTGCCTTGCCTTGCCTTGCCTTGCCTTGCCTTGCCTTGCCTTGCCTTGCCTTGCCTTGCCTTGCCTTGCCTTGCCTTGCCTTGCCTTGCCTTGCCTTGCCTTGCCTTGCCTTGCCTTGCCTTGCCTTGCCTTGCCTTGCCTTGCCTTGCCTTGCCTTGCCTTGCCTTGCCTTGCCTTGCCTTGCCTTGCCTTGCCTTGCCTTGCCTTGCCTTGCCTTGCCTTGTCTTGCCTTGCCTTGCCTTGCCTTGACTTGACTTGCCTTGCCTTGTCTTTTCTAGCCTTGCCTTGCCTTCAACTACAAGGCACGCCATGTTAACATCAACCTTGATATACGGTTACCTTTGATCTGAAATGCCAATAACCTTGTTTAGCGGGTTCGAAATCTTTTTAATTCGATTCGAAATCCCGTTTCAAAGCTAGAATTTCTTGTTTTTGGTTGCGTCAGCTCACGAGAAATACACGTAATCATTCATCTGTTATCAATCAGTGAGTTTTTTTTAATCATTGTTGATGAGTTTTAGTATGTTAAGGTAGTAAAAGTTTATGTTTTTTAAAATCTACAGTAGGAATGTTTTTATGCTTTTTTCTTCGCCCTCTCCTATCCTACTCAATCCTAATATACTCTACTCTGTATTACCATACCCTTCCAAACCGCACCCCAATATACCCTGCGTTCTAGCGTATTCTGTCCTACTCTAACTTACCATATCCTTCAATATCTCCACTGTAAACTAGCCTGTTTCTATCGTGTCACACCAACCACCCATTACTTTTCATTCTTTACCCCTCTTTACATTATATTAGGCGCCGACATAAAAAACCCGCCATTTTTTACAGGGAATCACAGTAAAAGTACGGCGGGTTCTTTATGTCGGCACCTAATAACTTTATATCAGCACCTAATAAACCTGCAAAATTACCCTAGCCCTAGCCATGCCCTAACTATGTCGTACCTTTTCTCTATGTTTTCCCTACCTGAATAAGCCTACGAAAAATGTTTGTACCATATCACTGATAACGTCTTTTTTATGTGGTTCTTCCCTAAACCAACCTTAGCTTTACCTAAACCTACCCTACTGTACCCAAAACAGTCTTAATATTAAGATTTTTTAAAAAATAATATTTTTGCTTTTTAGAACGATGGGCTTAACAAGATTCACTCAAAACGGCCAAATTATCAATTTACGAGACAACCGGTTGGCAGCAGAATGCTTAAGAATTAATGGATTGGTATATCTTTCAATATTTTTAAATTAATTTTTTAGTACATTACATAGGCACAGAATTAAGTAAACAAAAAACAAATTTTTTTTTAAATTTAAAACTAGCGTTTTGAATAAATTTAGCAATTTAAAACTTTTTTAAAATTGTAGTTTTTCAGTTATCACAAGCAGTTGAACGTCTGATTATTCTCGGCATGAAAGTCGAGGCCAGTGACTATGAGAACACTAAAAAGCTAGTAGAACAGTACAATGTAAGTAACACTTCTTAGTCCTAACCTAATTTTTAACTCTAAGTTAAGCGCTATCCTAAGCTTTAGCTTCAGCCCTAGCCTAAGCCCTAACCTAAGCCATAGCCTAAGCCTAGCCTAGCCTAGCCTAGCCTAGCCTAAGTCTAAGCCTAAGCCTAGCCTAAGCCTAGCCCAGAACCTTATTCCTAGCCACAGCCTTCGTTCTAGCCCGACTGCTAGCCTAACCCTAGCCTAAGTCTCTGCTTAAGCCCAAGCCATAGTTTTATACCTAACCTATGCCTTAGCCTTATTAGCTGTAGTCTTAGTTGTAGCTCTAACTCTAACCTAAGTCGTAGCTTAAGCTAAAGCTCTAGCCTAAGCTTTAGCTCTAGTCCTAGCCCTAGCTGACTTTTTAGCCTTAGCTTTAGTCTTAGTTCTAGTTATAGCCTAAACTCTAGCTCTAACCTTAGACTAAGTTTCAGCACTAGTCCAAGTGCTAGCCTTAGCCAATTTTAAAATTTAAATTTAAAAAATTCTAGTCCTTAATCTGGCCCAACATCTCCGAATGCCACACCTGCCTAAAGCCACTTGCCACTTCAATTCGTGCCTCCATCGACGAATGTCAGGTCAGCGACTCGAGGTTGACGAAGCTGCTCGAACTGAACAGGTTTCAATTGGAGGCGCGTCAAATTACGGATGAACTGATTGAAAAGATTGGCAGAGAGCTGGAAATAGCGTTGGAAGTGAAGAGACGGGCCAGAGTCATCGACGGGATTCAGATAGATCCGGAAAAGATGATCGAGCTTCAGACGTACAAAAACTCGATTTCAAAGTGGCAGCTTTAAGTTATTCATGTACATAACTTACATTACATACTACATTACATACACTACATTACATACACTATATTTTGATTTATTTGCTGTATGTATATAAAGTTAGGCTACTCTGCTGTTGTCCTACTTTACTCTATTCTACCCCTACTGTCTTAATAATTAAATATTAAGCGCCGACATAAAGAACCCGCCATACTTTACATGTAATTTCCTGCAAAAAATGGCGGGTTCTTTATGTCGGCACTTACTATTAGGTTGTTCACTTAATTCTGCGCTCTTTCTCAAAGCTAATTTGTAGGGTACGGGGGCGCAGAATTATGTGAACAACCTAAACTCTGCTGCATATGTATATAAAGTTATATATATTTGCTAGAGCGTGGCTCTTATCAGTAAAGTCGTCTACTATAATATAACAAAAATCGTAATACCCTGCCGTTTTCATACACAAAATATTAAAATCAGTATATAAAGTTATATATTTATATCTTTTGTAAAGGTTTCTATTCATTTGTCATGCAGTACAGGAGAAATTGGCTAGTTTCTCGGCTGGAACTTGACCATTTTCGTCTTTCAAGGCTTGGTATCGGACCTGAAATGGCGTTTTTAACATTGAAATGTCTGTCACATACCTTGTTCATTATTTTATTATACCCTAATTAACTTATCTTAACATCGATGGATGACCTACCATACCTTGCTTTACAGCATTCTTTCTACCCAAGAGTAGCTTCCACAGGGCCTTATTACTGTCCAAGCATAGCCTATACCAAGCCATATACTACCCAAATGCTAGCCTTATCCTAGTCCTATACCTAGCCAAACAAACTCTTATCTTAGCCCTTTATTAAACCTTAAACATAGCTTTCATCCCACCCTATACCTACCAAAGCCAAGCCCTTACCCAGCCCTATACGTGTCTAAGCCTGATCTTTACCCAGTCCTATACCTACCCAATTCAAACTTCTATCCAGCCGTATACCTATCCAAGCCTAACCTCTATCCAGCCCTATACTTATCCAATCCTAGTCCATACCATGCTCTATACCTTTCTAGGTCTAGCTTCTACCCACACACACACAAAGATAACCTAATCATAGCCCTTTATCAAGCCCTATACCTATCCAAGCATAGACTTTACCAAGCCTTATAGCTAATAAACCCACTTTATACTTAGACCAATACCTATCCACCTAGCCTGGGCCTAACCCTGTCTTCTTAGCCCTATACCAACCCAGGTCTAGCATCTACTGAAGCCTACACCTACACAGGCCAAGCCTCAACCCAGCCCTATACCTACATAATTATGCCCTTATTTACCCTCGCTTTTTATCAAGCTCTATACCGATCCAAACCAAGCTACTGTCCTGTCCTATACCTATCTGAGCCTAACCTCTACTAGTTTTATCCCAGTACAAGCCTAGCCTTTACCTAGCCCTATACCTATCTAACCCCAAAGTTTATCCAACCGTATACCTAGCTTCTACCTATCCTTATCCAAGCCTATCCTCGCCCTACCTACCCATCCTTCTACCTACCCAAGCCTATCCTCGACCTAACCCTACCATATTCATTTCATCTTTTATCATGTAAACCAACTTACATGAGCCAACCCTTGATAATGCTTCTGATCCAGCCTCTTCACCGTCCTTTCCTCCAAGTACGTTCTATTGTACAGTACTTCAAGCCAGCATGTCACAGCATTAAAGTCAAAGTCTGGCATCACCTTATTCACATACAACTCCTTGATATTATCCACGATGGGCAATAGATCTTCCACGCCATGAATACAGATGGCATGTCTGAAATGGTGGCTTTTGCACTTTTCCTGATTCAACCAATTCGAGTATCTTGTGATGAAACTGGTCGATTTTCCCTGATTGATACAATGTTGACTGAAGTGGCCTGGTATACCCAGCAGCTCCATAGATAATATCGTGGTGAAGCCGATCTCATCAATGCCATAGGTTTTGTCATTATCGATCTGAGAGAAGAGCTTGGTTAGGTTGAGTTCGGTGAAGATGTAGTCAATGGCTTCTCGACTTATCGTCACCTCATTGTAGCCTTTGGCGAAGGTAATGGACGGAGGGGTGGGAGCGGTCCAGGTTTTTAGGATTTGGTCTAGTTTTGAGCCTGAACAAGGTGAATATAGGTAGGAAAAGTATGTTTTTTGAGTGGAAAATAGCAAGAACTTTCTTTACAAAACAAAAAATGGCTAAAACTTTCTTTACAAAACAACGGCAATAACTTTTTTTACAAAACAAAAAATAGCAAGAACTTTCTTTACAAACGAAATAACTTACTATTTTTGAAGATTTCCATGTTACTCAAGGTCCAGTTCAACTTCTTGTTTACTCTTCCTGGCTCTCTGTTCATCTCGATATCATTCGAACCGTTCAGCCACTTCATGACTGCCACCATTTTATAGTTGGTCTTGGCTGGGAAGTCATGATTCTAGAAACGACATTTTTAATACTCTACCCTACCCTACGCTAACCTACCTTACCTTATCGTACCGTACCCTACCGTACCATATCCTACCCTACCTTACCCTACCCTACCTTATCCTACCCTACCCTACCCTACCCTACCCTACCCTACCCTACCCTACCCTACCCTACCCTACCCTACCCTACCCTACCCTACCCTACCCTACCTTACCCTACCCTACCCTACCCTACCCTACCCTACTCTACCCTACCGTATCCTACTGTACCTTACTATACCTTACTGTACCTTATTCTGTTTTGCCCTAACTTACCCTATCCTACCGTACCCTAAAGTACCCTACCGTCCACTTCATAGTTGGTCTTGGCTGGGAAGTCATGATTCTAGAAATGACATTTTTAATACCCTACCCTACGCTAACCTACCTTACCTTATCGTACCCTACCCTACCCTATCCTACCCTACCCTACTCTACCCTACCTTACCCTACCCTACCCTACCCTACCCTACCTTACCCTACCCTACCCTACCCTACCCTACTCTACCCTACCGTATCCTACTGTACCTTACTATACCTTACTGTACCTTATTCTGTTTTGCCCTAACTTACCCTATCCTACCGTACCCTAAAGTACCCTACCGTATCCTGCCCTACTTTACCCTATCCTACCCTACTTTAAAGTACCCTACCGTATCTACTTTACCCTATCCTACCCTACCTCAAAACCAGCCCTCCTAACCCCCAATAGCACCTTTCCTAGTACTAAAAATCACCCCCCCCGTACCTCCCTAAACCAACCTCAACCTACCTGCAGCAACTGAACATACTTCCACTTCATCGTGCCGTTCCTCAGCACGTTCAAACAGTCGATGTGAGCCAGGTCCATTCGATGGCCAGCACTGTCCATGTCACGGTACTCGGTGGCCACGATCACGTTCGGCAAACATTTGGCCAACGCCTTCAGCCGGGCCCGGAACAAGTGGTCGGCCGACCGGTCGATGGCGTAACAGTAGCAGTTTTGGGGTTGGTAGGTGGCGGCCAGGACCAGCTCCAGGTAGTAGTAGTCCTTGTACACGTTCCTGGCTACAGCGTACGGGAAGTCGGCTTCGAATGGAGAGGAGGGCTGGTCCGGGAAATGATGTCTGGCTTTTATGGATTGGCAGTCCATTGGGAGGTCGTCTAGCGAGTCGGGGTCCTCGATTCGGTATCTGGAATGGGGCTTTCTTTAGAGGTATTGATGTTATTGGGCGGTAAGTAGGTATTACAGTAAAGTTTTGGTATAAACAAGGCTGGTAGGAGACTTGAAAGTCTTAATGTTACCTAAAATACTGAGCTATACCTACTTAAAATGCTAAATGTTACCTAAAACAACAAGCTATACCTACCCAAACCCCTAAATGCTACTTAAAATACTAGGTCGTTCACTTAATTCTGCGCCCCATAACTCAAAAATTTTTTTTAAAAAAGGGGCGCAGAATTAAGTGAACGGTCTAATACCACTCCATACCTCTTTCCAGCCAACTGTTTAACATATTGATCATGTTTACCATCCATAACCCAATCACATCTCAAATCCTGTGTACCGACCGGTCGAATAAAGTAGTCGCTCTTCTTTGGCGACGTTTTCACAATGATTTTTGTGATTGAGTCCCCTGGAGTGTTCTTGGTGATGAGTAGGTAGAGGACACATGAGGTTAGTATCAGAAGTGACAGCGTGATGACTAGAGGTTTGTACTGGTTTTTGGCTTGGATGTGCTTGAGTTTAACTGATGTGACATCTGAAAATTAGATTTTTAGGGTTAGAGCTTTGGGCTAAAGCTTGGATTTGAGCTTAAGCTTAGACACAGGCGTAAGAACAGATATAAGCTTAGGCTTAATCTTAAGTTTTTCTTTTACTGTAAGCTTAAAATTAGGATTAAGCGCTCTACAGACTTAGTTTTAAGCTTTAGTTGTGCTGAAGCGTAACCTCAAGAGTTGCCTTATCCACTAGAGGCATAAACTCAAGCTTAGAGCTAGGCTTAGACATAATCTTAGGCTATAGCTAGGCTTTGGGCTAGGGCTTTAAGCTTAGGCTTAGGATTAGGCTTAGGCTTAGGCTTAGGCTTAGGCTTAGGCTAAAGCTATCGCTAAACTTAGGGCTAGGGCTCTCGGCTAGGGCTCTAGGCTAGGGCTCTGGGCTAGGGCTCTAGGCTAGAGCTCTGGGCTAAGGCTCTGGACTAGGGCTTTGGGCTCTGAGCTAGGATTCTGTGCTAGGGCTAGGGCTCTGAGCTGAGACTCTGGCTAGAAAATACAGTAAATTTAAAGAGCTTTACCTTCTTCTTCGACGTCCAACAAAAATTCCTTTAGCGGATCTCGTCTTGTTTTACCCATTTCGACTTTTTTGAAGGCTACTCACACCTAAATGTACCTAGTGTAATATAATTTTTCATGTTTCTATACCAAAAATAAGTTTTGTGACAGCGTCATAAGATAATATATAATTTATAAGATGAATATTGTTATTATATCACACAGCTATTACCGTTTTCAACCACAGTTTAGACTTATGGTCTGTTGAAGAAGATTCACACCTTCAGATGTCTAGTGTAATATAAAATTTTATTTCTATACAAGATGGTATTTTCATGACATTTTTTTACAAAAAATCTTAATTTAAAATTCACTTGCTATCATTTTAAAACGCATTTTTAACAATTTTTATAAAATTTATGCCAATACACTCTGTCAAAGACTATTTACGTCTTCAGGTGCCTAGTGTAATATAAATTCTTATTCCTATACTAACCTATGAACCATTTTTAAATGACAAAATATAACTTACAAGACGTAGGTTTGGCGCTCAAGAAGTATAAGACCCAAAAATAAGACCCAACCAATCCTGGAAGTATAAGACCCAACCCATTTTTATTCAAATTTAAAAGTCGCGGAAAATCATTTTGAACAATGAAATTTTGAATTAATCGGTAAGAAAATTGTATGCGTAGATTTTTATTCTGAAAAAAGATCTTACTAATTTCAGCAAACTATTAGACTTATGTTTTGTTGAAGATGACTCACATCTTCGGATGCCTAGTGCAATATAAATTCTCTATTCAATACATATACCTACAGGTGGTTAGTGTGATATAAATTCTTGTTTCTATACAAAATAACAGCTTTATGCCATTTTAAGTTGACGGAGTATATTCTACAAACCGTATATTTTCGTTTTAAAACAAACTTTTCAAATTTTAGATAGGACTTTAGCTCTGCGCTTTGTTAAAGCCTACCTACTCCTACAGGTACCTAGTGTAATATACATTTTTCCCGTTTTTCGTCGTTAAATTACTTTTCCATGGTAATTTCATTAAAAAACATGATTGCAAGTAATTAAAAACATAAAAAATTTTTAAAAAATACAAAACCAAAACAAAAACAGCTGCACTAAGCATATTAATCAAAGCAAGTCCCTTTCCAGGTGAAACAGCACAGTCGCTGTGCTTTGAATGTTAGTCATTTTTGGTAACCAGGACGTTGAAACATTACGTATGCTCATTTTTAAAGGCTAACAACGCCTTTTTTGAAAAACCGAATAAACTCGGTTATCCTTTTGTTCTCGAAATGACAGCAGTTAACACCAAATGTCATCATAAGGACAAATAGTGCAAATAGTAAAATTATGGAAAAAAATTACCTAATTTGAATATTTTTGTGGAAAAGTTGTACTACAGTTATTTCTAAAGCAAAGATATGATTTTCAATGATAAAAGGTGTTTTGGTGACATGTTATACGAAGTAAGATGTTTCATCGCATAACATGTCACTTTCTAGGCAATGTTGTTAAAAATGACAAAAATATAGAAAAGTAGACATCTTACAAGATATAAAAACAACTTTTAGTGTACTTTATCATAAAGAGACAAGCTATACCACCAGATTTCCTCCCGGACCGGACCCAATGCGAGAGTCCGGAACTTGAATTTTGTTTTTCCCGCGCTTTTTTTCTACCGGTCGGATCGGTCCGAAACTTTTCATACCCTCTATTTGGAATGGGTGCTGACCCTTCTAGGTGCTTAGTTTTTTGATGTCTATACTAGTTTTCAAGATATGACTTTGGCGGGAAAAATTAATTCAAAAATCCGGGCCCTCCGGACCACCGGACCCAAAAGGCAACACCGGACCGGACCCAAAAGACAAAACTTAGTACACGACCTAGAATTGAAACAAAAGTGGCTTTAAAAATTTATTTTAAAACATCATAAGATATGATTCGTCTATGATAGCATGCTTGGAAGTGTTTTGTATTGTTTTAAATGTAACACAATGGCTATTTTCCAATTAATTATCATATTTTGATCATCTTTTTGACACTTTGTTTTACATAATTTCAAAAATGTAACAAAAATACTGCTGAATCTGCTTAACACCGAATTTGAACATAATTTACGATTCAGTAACAAGTTATATAAAGAAACATAAACCGCACCTCACGCACCGCACGACTCTCTCCCACCGCGAACAGTCTGATACTTGGCATTCCATCCCGCTCTCTCACTCGATGATTGCCGCGAAGGTTGGCAAGCTTGGGGAGAGGTTCCTCCTCTTCGTGCCGTGATCTATAGGCTTCATCGGTTTACTGGGTTTACATTATATCTTGACATTGTATTGCGTATTGTGTTAGTAAATAGTGTTGAAGTATATACTCAGCCTTTCATCGTATATTCAGGACGTAAGGAGGTACCACCGTGCCCCTTATCATTTATTCCAATTGCTCCAGATATGTACTTTAATATAATATTTTAACGTTTCTTTTCATATTCTTTGACCATAAGCTAAAAAGAGTAATATTAAAAGGTGTTTTTTGTTTTCTTTGACTGTTTATTACCTAAAAAGACGCATTTTGATTTTATATTGGTTACTCTTTAAGCGAACAAACTCGTTTTGACAAACTTAATGTCTTTCTTTGTTGATATTGACTTCATTACTTACTGCTTTGGTAAAAAAACTTTAAGGAGAAGGTTGACAGTTATTCTAGCTTGATTAAAAAAAAAATTTAGACTAGTTTTTGGTTTAAAGAATAGAGAAAAAAAAATGGCAGAGAAGCGAGTAGCCGTCATTGGAGCTGGTCCTAGTGGCCTAGCCGCTGCTCGGTGAGTCATTTTTAGATAAGGGTAGAATATGATTTTTTGCTTAGAAGAAAGATATGATTCTTGTCTTACAAATAAGATGAGATTTTGCTATGAATTCAAACATTTCAGCCAAGCCATAGCGCACAATGTAACACCAGTCGTCTTTGAACAACGAGATGTCATTGGTGGTCGATGGAGTTATGCTCGAGATCCTAAATGTAAGTTGCTTCTCTTAGATTGATAGACGTTAATATGACACATTTTATACTACACCCTACCCTATTCGCCTCTACCTTACCCTACCCTACCCTACCCTACCCTACCCTACCCTACCCTACCCTACCCTACCCTACTCTACCCTACCCTACCCTACCCTACCCTACCCTATCCTATTTTACCCTACCCTATCCTACCCTACCCTATCCTATCCTATTTTACCCTACCTTATCCTACCCTACCCTACCCTACCCTACCCTATCCTACCCTACCCTACCCTACCCTACTCCTACCATACTTTTTGCTCTTCCGTGTGATCTGTTTTTTGCTTTACCCCTGCCTTACTGTATGCCATACCATAAGCATCGTATTACTTTAATGTATGGTGCTCTACTCTGCCTCTTCCTATACTGTGTCTATACCCTATTGTACACTATCTATATTCGCCTTTCTTCTTGATTATTTTTGGCTTTTTTAAAGTTTTCTTACTGTACTTTTAAAATTTAAAAATTAATTCCAAAACATTTTATTCTAATAATTCGTATTTTACAATCCTTTTTTAGATATTACTCATCTACCTTCTACAAAAACCAAATATTCAAAAATATTGTCATCCTTTAGTGACTTTCCTGCTTCAGAAGAATATTCAGAGTTTTTAACCCAGCCAGAAGTTGAAAAGTATCTTCAAAGTTATGTTGATAACTTTAATCTACAACAATATATTCAACTGAATACTACTGTAACTGGCATAAAAAGGCATGAAAACTACAGTGAAAATGGAGTATGGCTGGTTTCTTATGAACGGTAAGAGTAGAGTACGGTAATATAGGACAGAGTAAGACAGAGCAGAGTAAGATGAGGTAAGGCAGGGTAAGATAGGGCAGGGTAAGGTAAAGTAAGGCAGGGTAAAATAGGGCAGGGTAAGGTAAAGTAAGGCAGGGCAAGATAGGGCAGTATAAGATAAGACATAGTTAGATAGAGTAGGGGAGGGTAAAATGAAGTAAGGCAGGGTAAGATGAAGTAATACAGGATGAGGTAGGGTAGGATGAGATAGAGCAGGGTAAGATAGGACACGAGAGAATATAACAGAGCAAGCTAAAATAAGGCAAGGCAGGGCAGGGTAAGATTGGGTAGGGTAGGGTAGGATAGGATAGAGTAGGGTAGGGTAGGGTAGGGTAGGGTAGGGTAGGGTAGGGTAGGGTAGGGTAGGGTAGGGTAGGGTAGGGTAAAATGAAAAAGTTTACTTCTAGTGATGGCAGTGATAAAGTTGAAGAATTTGAATACGTTTTGATAGCGACCGGCAGAACTCATCGTGCTTACAGGCCGAATCTTTATCGAAAAGAGGGCGAATTTCAGGTATTTTGTGACATTTTTTTAAATTTTGAGAATTTTTTTTTTCACTTTTTTAATGTAATACTTACCTGGCTATTCGTTACAGGGTAGAATAAGTCATTCAGCTCAATATAAATCAAGCTCCGACTTCAAAAACCAGAAAGTTGTGTTAGTTGGCTTCGGAGACACGGCGATTGAATTGGCTAAGGATTTGGCTGGAGTGGCCAAAGACGTAAGTGTTTTATATTTCTCGGTTGCTAAAGGTCTGTAGAATCTTATCATTAGACTAATTTAAAAAAAAGTTTTAAATTTTATGTGTTTTGGTTTGTTAAACAGTCTCAACACCTTATTTTAGGGGTCTTTTGACTGTTTTTCACTATTTTTTTCAATTAAAAAAATTTTTTAATGTTTTTTATAAAAGCTGTTGTGTTAATTAGATCTTAATGCCTATTTACAATATAATAATGATGAGTTTACGCACATTTACTTTTGTATTTTAGTTGTTTTAGCTTTTAAAACTTGCAAAACACCTAATTTTTGAGCATTTTTGACATTATTTTTCATTTTTCTGCCATTTTTAATTGATAGTCTTTTACAATATTATTGTTTTTATATAATCCAAGCATTGTAAATTTCAATACGATAACATTTTGTCTATCTTCTTTTATTTTTATAATGTTTTAGCCATTTAAACTTGTCAAACACCTAATTATTAGCCATTTTTGATCTTATTTTTCATTTCCCTGCCATTTTAAATCAACCCCAAATCTCAAATTCCACTTTCAGGTAATAATATGTGTCCGCCACGGTGAATGGCTCAACTTTCGCACAAATTCAGCAACCAATACCGCCTGGGACCCAAATTACAACAGCCGGTTGTCAGCAGCGGTCCGAAAGTTTGTGCCGACTCAAATTTTGAACAAAATTTACGAAAAAAGTAGTAAAAGCCAGTTAGATTTAAAAAACTACGGTATTTTGGATTGTAAATTTGGCTACTGGAACACTATACCAGTTTTTGGCGATGGGTTGAGAGAGTGTTTGGAACGAGGAGACGTTAGGCTGGAAAAGGACTTTTTGAGTTTTGGAACTGATTATATTGAGTATGAGGGCAAGAAAGTTGAGGAAAATGTTGATCAGGTATTGTATTTTTGATTATTTTAAAATTTTAGTAAGGACATGTTTTATCGTATAACATGTCGCTTTTGCACAATTATTAAGATTTCTTGATGTTTTTTTGAAAAGATAAGTTTATGTAGGGCTTATACGGACTAAAAACGTAATTTTCCTGACTTTCTTATCATTTTAGGTAATATTCTGCACAGGCTACGAATTCGACTTTCGACTGGTCGAAAACGGCACGTTAATCCGAGTCCGAAACAATGATTCTCAACTCTACCTTCATATGTTCCACGCCGAACTGCCAAAAGGCAATCTGGCCGTGATAGGCTTGGCCAATTCTTTTGGGCCACGATTTCCAATTTCCGAGCTCCAGGCCAAGGTATTCTTTGGTTTACATTGCGGTAAATGGCGACCACCGAGTGAACCTGTGATGAGAGAAAGAGCCGAATGGAAGAGATGTCAAATATCTGTCAATTACTTGAAAACTAGACGACATACTCAAATAGTACGTTGGGTTGGTCCAAAAGTTATGTCCATTTTCAGGAAGGCTACGTTGATTTCATGAAGGAATTGGCTTCTAAAATCGATGTAGATCTAAAAACGTCAATGTTTATCACCGACCCATTATTGGCTTTGAAGTGTTGTATATTACCAATGTCTTCAGCACAGTTTCGGCTTGGATCGAACAATTCAAAAGAAGTTAGAGAGCAATTAATGAGGTTAACATCGGAAAATTCTGGTGTTTTATGGGCAATATTAGCGGTTTTGGTGCTTGTTTTAGCTTATTTTATGCTTTTATAGGTATTAAAAGATAGGAAAATTGTTGATTAATAAATATTTGTTAAATTCATAGAGAGTGATGTCTAAATTTGGCAGTTTTTTAAGGCTAAAAGTTGCATTTTTGGAGAAAAAATTGAGTTTTCATGCTTTAATTGTAAAAAAATAATATTTTTTGTTGATAAAATCAAGATAAAACTTTATAATGGCTATTTTACTGTAGTAAAAAGCAATACACGTTCATTTTTATCATTTTCCAACCAACAATAACGAATTGCGAGCTGCATCTTCTCTCTCTCACTTTCGCCCGCCAATATTTTCGTTTGAAAATTATTTTTCGAAAAATATTTTGTTTCGTCGTTCGGAGGTTTGTCTGCCTGTAAAAATAGCTTGATTCAACTAGATTTTACCACTCTTCCAAGATTATAGTATAGTTTAACCTATTTCAACCTCCGTTTCAATGGCTTTGGGGGATTATTCGTTTGGAGCCAATTTCTTGGACAGTTTGAAGGAAAATCGAATAAATGAAGCTCATATTAATGTAAGTTCTTTGAAATTTGGATTGGTTTTGTCTTTTAGTTCTTCTTAAGCTTTTTACAAGCTATTTTAAGTAAAATGGTCATTGTACGTTTCAAATTTAGCTAAATTCCAGAAGTTATAGAATTTGGTACCAAGTATAATATGGAAAACCTCATAACTTTTGTTTTAGGCCACCCTTTCTAATAAATTGAATTTCAGAAGTTGATGTTTAACATACAGAAGCTTTGTGACAAGTGGAAGTTATGTGACAAGCCGCTTGAGGAAGTAGATGGCGGATACTATATTCACTACGCTGATTGGAGAGTAAGTTATATTCTTTTGTTTGTGTCTTGGTTTTTAGGTAATGGAAAGCAAGATGGTTGGGTTCTTAAATTAGATAGGAGTATTGGGTAGATTCAGAAAGTTATTTTAGGTCTTTTGTATTTTTTTGGGAAAAGTTATAAACGATTATATTATTGTAGGTATAGATGTTGATGTCAGCTGAAGTTTACGTAAATTTTGAGAAGGTAAATTAAAATACCATGGTTTTTATAGTTAGTTTAGGGTAGAAGGAAAACATAAAAAATTGTTTATAGCTTGCGGTTTTGTGGTGAACAGAATTATGAAGCATTATATTATAATAGGTACAGAAATAGATGCCAGTTCACTTTTCATTATATTTTGGTCATTTAAATGAATAAATTAAGGGTTCTAAATTTAGCCTGTTGTATAATAAGGCTTATAAAAGTTTTAGGGTTTCATCGTTATTTTAAATAGAGTTATGGCCGATTATCTTGTAGTAGGTATAGACTTTTTGATATTTTTATATTATCTTCAACATTTTATCAAGTTAATAGGAGATTTCAAAGCCTATAGTTGTATAACATACTAAAATAAGTTATTTTAAGAAAATTTACGAAAACATGCCGAAAGTCTTCAAACAAACCTGTCCAATAACCATTATTCCTTCGATGGGATGTTCAACTCACGAAATCCGACGACTTTTGACCGAACATTGCCAATTATACAACGGGATTGAGAGTTTGGGCTTTCGAAACGGTGACAAATACGAAGGAAAGTTCGACATTGATGAGTTAATGGCATTCATTGAAAAAGAATACGTGAAAAAGATGCCGCAATACGATCAAGCAGTTGAGGAGAGCGCGGTAAGACATGGTTAATATAATTCTTAAAGTTTATAGTGGTTTTTTGATGTTATTAGGATAGAAAGGGTTTGATCATGACTATATAGGGTTGTTTTTGTTAAAATATAGATTTTAGGTAACAAAGCGTTTATTGATATATGCTTAGTGTAATATAAGTCATGGTTAATATAAATTTTAAGGATCTTTTTGATGTTATTAGACTATAAATGGTTTAAGCACGACTATATAGGTTTATTGTTGTCAAAATGTAGATTTTAGGTAACAAAAATATTTTTTAAGCTATATCTAGTGTAATATAAGTCATGGTTAATATAATTTTTGGTAGTTTAAAGTGGTTTTATGGAAAATATAGGTATAATAGGGCATGTAAGAGATACTCTTTTTCAAAATTTAAAATTTTAGATAACAACTTTTTTCGATTTTTCTTAAATTTAGGTATGTCAAGGGTAATATAAGGTCTCCCTAAGTTAATGTAAGGTAAAATACGACGCACCAAGCAGTTTTTTATTAAAATTCCAGAACTTGATGCCAGAATACATGCGGATGCTGAAGACATATCTCGGCTTTCTATTACCATCATCCTCCAACATTACTGTAGCTAACGTAGTAGAAACCGGTGTACTGAGTGCGTTGGCAAACTCCCAAACATCACCAAATTGGGAAATGGAACGATACGATTGGACGTCAATTGGCCAGATCGTCCATTTACGTCTATATTTCGACTTTTTGTCGAGAGGAAACAGCTTGATCAGCAAGGAGAATTTCAAGATTTGCAGGCATTATAGAGTAAGATTTAGTGGTTTTGAGGGGTGGTTTTGCTCTAAAATGGCGTTTCTTAAAATTGATTTTTTTTTTAAATTAAAAAAAATTTTATTAGGTTGTTCAAAAAGTTCTGAGCTTTCTTGTGATGGCTCAGTTTTTTGAACTACTTTTTTATCTCACGGGGGGGGCAAGCTGCTTTTTTTTGAAGAAAAAATTTCTTTGTTGCAAAAACCGACCGGTCGATCTTGAAAAGTTAAAATTTACAACACAATCTAGTAGGCTCTCAGGATTAATAAAATTTGAATATAGCAAAAGGATTTTTTTGAAATTTTAGGGGGCTGAGAATTTTTTGAACAACCTGATATTCCACACCGGGGGGGTGTGTCAAGCTGGTTTTTTTTAAACATTTTTTTTATTTTTTTTTAATTTTCAGGACTACCAAGGCGATTCAAAGTACTTTTCCTTCGACTGGACCCATCAGCGAACCTTTACCGACGCATTTATTGATCGTTTGTTTGAAGTAATGCAGGGCAAAGGGATGATAACTTCAGAGGGAATGAATTTCGACGCGTTTTTGAAGTTTCAAATAATGCTGGATTATAGAACGGTAAGGGACAAAGTTATGCAAGGACTTTCTGACTGGTTTATTGGTTTAAAATTGTGTTTCTGTAATTTTTTGAAAGAAAAAGGGCAAAAACTGGCTATTTTTGGCTGTTTTGCTTATTTTTCGCGTTTCGGCCTGAATTTTAATGTTTTTGATTGAAAAGTGTAATTATATTTATGTATATAATGTTGGTGAATACGTTTTAAATATTGAAAATGCATTTTTTAACTATTTCGGTTAATGAAAGTGCAAAAAGTGTATTTGCCGCCAGCAGGGGTCGAACCTGCGACCTTGGGCTTATTAGACCCACGCTCTAACCGACTGAGCTATGGCGGCACGTGTTTCCTCGCGCTTATTTTTAGCCTAAAGTGGTTTACTTTAACCTAAAATGACATTTTTGATGGCTTCATAAGATGTAAAAGTCGATTTTTATGTCAAATTTCGATTTTTTTTAAAAAAAGTATATTAAAAATGGCATAAATCAAATTTTCAGGCCAAAAAGACCCTACAATTCTGCTTCGACATCTTTGATCGCTACGCCAAAGGCTACATCGCGCCGTGCGATATCAAATACTTCTTCAACAGTTATAAAACTGCATATCCGAATGAGGAGATGCCAGAAGATTTTCCAGTTTGCTTACCCAAAGACTTTGTTCACACCGAAATAATGATGGCCAAAATGGCAAGAGCAGGTGATAAGTAGGTATTAATATTTGTTTTTTAGAAAGTTAAGGCTTTTTTGGTGATAAAAGGGCAGTCGAGAATGATTAGTTTGATTTTTAAAGATAGTTTTTGATTTTAAGAGGAAAATGATTTTTTATTCATGGGACATGTTTCGTCGTATAACCAGGCTTGGACGTAGGGCGTTGCCCCCTGTGCCCGACCCGGCCCGGCCCTGGGGCCGGGCCAGGGCCCATTTTTACGATCAATTACAGGGCCGGGCAGGGCCCATGATTCTAATCGGGCAGGGCTTGCTTCGTGCCCGGTAATGCCCTGTAAATGCCCGGTAATAATTTTTTCATATATAAAAAAAAATTAATTTAAAATTGTTGAGTGTCTAGCAAGTAATGTTACTTACCCCACTTCACTCCTGGACATTTTAGCTCTTTCCGACCTCATCCCTGATCCTTTTATCCCTACCCGACTTCAGCCCCCCCCCCCCTATTTTAACCCTACCCAACCTCACCCTTGACCCTTTTAACCCTACCCGACCCTACCTTTGACCTTTGTAGCCCTGCCCGTTCCTACGCTACCATATTGTACTTAATATGCCACACCCTACCATACAATACCCTAACATATTATAACATGCCATACCCTACCATACAATACCATATCCTACCATACCATAACATACTACATATACCATACTGTATCATATCTTACCTTATCCAATCTTATACGCACTACTGTGTACTACCCATAGGTAGGGTAGAGTAGGTAAATAAAGCAAGATAAATGGTAGAATATAGACAGGTAGAGTATGGCATGCTATATATGTTAGGGCATTCTAGGATTTGATATGGTAGATAGGTTAGCATATAGTATGGTAGGGTATTGCAGGGTCTGGTATGATAGATAGGATAAGTTATGATATGATAATGTAAAGTATTGTAAGGTTTGGTATGTTTTGTTTGGTAAGATGAGTATGATATAGTAAGTAGCATAGAGCATGGTATAGTACAGTATGGAATTTTATGTAGGGTGGGTGTGGTATAGTAGGGTAGGGTAATAAAGTCAAGGGTAGGGTTTAGTAAAGCTAAACAGGTCAAAGGTAGACTTGGATAAAGCTAAAGAGGTCAGAAGTAAGGTTGGGTAGGCCTAAAAAGGTCTGGGGTAAGGTCGGGAAGAGCTAAAAGGATCACGGGTGATGTCGGGTAGGGCTAAAAGGGTCAAGGGTGAGGTCGGGTAGGGCGAAAAGGGTCAGGGGTGAGGCCGGATAGATATAAAGCAATTTATTTCACTTGTTATTAGCTTTATAAACTTAATTTACAAATGCCCTGTAAAACCCTGTAAAGCCCTGTAAATCCCTTTTTCCGGGCCGGGCAGGGCCTGAAAACTAAAACCCTGTACAGGGCCCAAGCGGGCCCGGCCCCTGGGTCGCAAATTGGGCCCTGCCCTACGTCCAAGCCTGCGTATAACATGTCACTTTCCCTCAAAAATTCATGATTTAGGCACTCTAAATGGTCATGTAAAAGAAATATCGGTAAAAATAGATTTTAAAGCTATACTGATTACAATTTTTTTTACTTTTCAAATTTCACTGTTATAGAAAATTACAGTAACCTACCGTATTTCAGCATAACCTTTGATGACATTTGGGAATGTGCAAAATCCCACTCATCCGGCAACTTTGTTGACTTGATGATTCATCAGCTCGCCAGTCCCGATGGCTACCTACTGAACGAACGACGTGTGGATGGAAGCAGCAGTCAGGACCGTGCTGATGATACAGTAGCCCCGGAAGAGCCAGAAGCCGAAACTTCAATTCCACCACCAACTGAAGAATATGACTTTTTGATAGGCGAACCAAAGGCGTTGGACATCAACGTTTCAACGTGAAAATTTAACTGATTTTGATTGAAAGTATTAACATTGACTTATATTGACATAAATCTGTACATACTTACTTATGATAAGATATTTCGGATGTAATACGATATTCTTAAATTACTTTATTAATTTGAACTGTGGGGAACAAGTATTGTAACGTTTTTCGGTGTTTAAAGGACTAACATACCAACTGTACATGCGTCCCACCGCGAAAACCCTGAATAATCAGGAAACGAGAAAATAAAAGAAAATGGAAAAATTTTCGCGAACAATTTGTTAATGCTGATGAAGCATAACATAATGTCGAAAGGGGGTGTTGAAATTTTTGTAATATAAAAGCTTTTCGTATCTTCAACATGAAACTTGTCTGTACCTTCAAAAAGTTGTGGTTATAACGGTAAAACACTTGTTTAAATAGCTTGAAAGCCCGCTTAGTAACTAAAATTGTAGTTAGCAACGTTTATTTTCTCTATTGATTCGCATTTTTGTATGCAGCGCGTGTTTTATTGACTTTTGAGTGTTCTACTTTTGTATTTATGTTGTTATTGACAATATCATAAACAAAACTTGTTGTATCGTGAAAATACTTGTCGTAGATTTAAATTCTTATCAATAAAGTAATGTTTTAGCTTTAGACATGTCTGACGAACCTCAACAGCCAGCACAACAATTGCCAGAACACGGCAAAGTGACGAAAGATGAAAGGAATCTTGTCGTATCGTTCATTCAGTTCTTGAGGCAGAAGGTCTCGGCCAACGAGTGTTCGGCTGATCAAATCGAGGCTTTGGAAGTTGCCATTCAATGTATGGAAGGAGCATTTGAAGTGTCGGACAAGAACTACGCTTTCCAGCCCAGCAAACCTTTGTTGGAGATCTTCAAACAAGCTGAAGGTCTTAATGGTCAAGTAAGTTGATTTATTAGGGTTTTTTTGATGTTTAGGTATTTGAATATGGCTTTGATGCGTTTTGGCAAGGTTTTTGCTTTATAATAATCTTATAATGATGATTGAAGCTATGTTTTTAAGTATCAAAACATCAATTAGTAATTTTGGTATCAGAACGTACAATAATATGGGCTTTTCATTGAAATTTTGTCTTCTATGTTGGGTTAGGTCAATGGAAATAAATACTATGAGCTTCTACATAGTTTTCTCGTTTTAAAGAGATTAGAAATTAGGCTGTAGACTTAAGTCAACATCTTGAAATTGTAGATATTAAACTTGGTATCAAAAGTTTGTGTTTTTTTTGAAAATCAGTTTTTCTTGTAATTTTAAAAACAAAAATGCAAATGAAAACATTTCAAAACCAACTACGAGTTTTCTAGCTCATTTTTTTCATTCATTTCAAGGTTATTTGTTGTTTACGGTTGGTGATCTTGAATTTACTAAAACCTTTATAAAATTTGGAAGTATGAAGGTAAATATCGTCATATCTAGTCTCTTTAGATTATTAGTTGTAGGAGACTATTGATTTGTTATTTATAAGAAATATTAGTAGTTTTGCTTTCGTATTTTACAAAAATTATCTTTGAAACTTATTGTAACGTCTAAAACAATGTTTTTAGGACGAAGAAGAGTTCCCAGAGCCAACTCAAGCTGAGATTGACCAAGCTAACAAGCTTAAGGAAGAGGGTAACGAGCTCGTCAAGGCCACCAAGTTTCAAGAAGCTATTCAGAAATATAACGAGGCTATCAAACTTAATCGTGATCCTATCTACTTCTGTAACAGGTAAGATTTTTAATGTTTCTTGAAGTTTAGGTAGTTCGATAGAAGAAACAATGTTTTATGATGGTTTTGATAGGTATTTTTTATGCTTTTATCATAGGTAGTGTGTTATTATTGTTGTGATAGGCCGTTTGTTATGTATATAACTTTATATCTTCAGAGCCGCCGCCTACTGCCGCCTGGAACAACATGATCTGGCCATCCAGGACTGTCGTACCGCCCTGGCCCTAGACCCCAACTATGCCAAAGCCTACGGTCGTATGGGTGTGGCGTTGTCATGCCAAAACCGCTACGATCAAGCCGTAGAAGCCTACAAACATGCTCTCGAATTGGACCCCAACAACGAAAGTTACAAGCAAAACCTCGGCATTGCCGAAGACAAGATGAAGGAAGCTCAGGAAGCGGCTGGAAGTCAACCAGGAGCTGCCGGTGCCAACCCATTCGCCGGCCTCGGCGGACTCGGAGGTCTTGGCGGAGGTTTGGGCGGTCTTTTCAACCCACAAATGGCGGAAATGGCCGCACAAATGATGCAAGACCCCAACGTGCAGAACATGATGTCTCAGATGATGGGCTCATTCTCCGGCGGCGCGCCTCAACCCGGAGCCGAAGGAGGCGCCGCACCCGGCGGACCCGGCTTCGAAAACTTGCTACGCGTCGGAGAACAGGTTGGTGAAGCTGTGCGAGGTGTTGTTGGGGCGGTTAGTCAGGTCAGCTAAGGAAAATTTGGGGTTTTTATGTTGTTTTAGATAGAAATATAGTTTTTTATGTTAACATAGAGATTTTGGTCTTGTTTATAGGGTTTTGAACGTTATAATGAAGTTTTTTTAATTTTTGGTAATAAAAATGATTAAATGTCAGGTTTAATAAGACCCTTGTTTTCAGATTGCCGAAACGATGCAACGCAGCAACCCCGAGCTGGTCGAAAACCTCCGACGCCAATTCGACGCCACCCGCGGCCCATCGAACCCCGACCAAAACCCGCCAAACCCCGACCAAGGATCCGGCCAACAATAACTCTCTGGACTCGAATATTCCGTTTTTGCTAGTTACTGGTTGATTATACATTATTTTGTGATTAAATCCGAAGATTACCTTGAATTGATGCGGTAAAGTATGTGGGTATAGTAAGGTTTTGATGATGTATGAGGGCATAAATGGTATGTGGGCGATAAGAAGGCATTAAAATGGCGTTTTAAATTTAAAAAGGGTTATTTAAGCCTAAAATTGAATTTTCAAAATACATTATACCTGACAAAGAGACATGTTATATGATGAAGCATGTCCATGGTATACCTATATCAAAAATAAAAAAAAAACACAATTCCCATGCCTTCAAAACAGTTTATTTATATCCGAAATAGCTGGATTTGACTTCCTTCGACGAGTCATCGGTCGATTTTTTGGCTTTTGATTTATCGACCGACTTCTTCAGTACGTACTCGGAGCGCACCTCGTAGCCGGGTACCATAAAGTACTCTTCGCTTTTTGGTTGTTCCTTCTCTTTTCCCACTTCTGATGTTGTTGATGATGTTTTAGTGACCGAACTGTGCTGAAAACAGAAAATGTATTGATATAGACAATCTATGCGACTAAGCATGTTTCGTCGTATAACATGTCATCTAAGTGATCATTTTGCAAAAAAAATGTTTTAAAAACTGTCAGTATGGTACTATAAAAGCATATAACTAACAATCAAGACCTTATACGCTTAAACATGCCCCTTCGTATCAAATGTCCCTTCCACTTACCGAGCTCCCACTTGTCTGAGATTCCGTCTTCTTGGCATTGTTTCGGTGCCAGGGCTTCTTATCTTCCAGTCGATGTGAGTCAAACTTAATATGACTGTTGGATTCTGTAGCAACCTTCGCGTCCGACGATTCACAGGCGAGTGATGCTCCAGAGCTGTGTTCCTCTTCGGCCGCTGTCTTCATAGCCTCGTCCTCTTTGGGAAGTTTCTTCTTTTTCTTTTTCAGCGGTGAAATGAACGGTCGCATTGGGCAGCCCACCTTCTCAAACACCGTGGGCTGGTTTTCTTCGCTGAAAATATTTCATCGTATAACCTGTCCCAATTACAAAAATTTGTATAAATTTTAAAAATTAAGGCCCATAGCTTTCAAAAAAACTAAAAAAACCTACTCATTTTGCCTCGGTGGACTTCTGGATTCACCAGTTTTCATCGGCGGAGAGTGTGAAGTGGCCGTTTTTTGATCTTCCTCGTCTTGTTCTGCCTAAAAATGGGCGTTAAAACAAGTGATTTAGGCTTAACATACTCTAGAGTATCTGATGGACTCTAGATTATTTTATTTGAAGTCAATAACATTTCAATATAAGCTAGTTTCTATAGAAGTTTTTCAGCAAAAAATGTTCCAAAACTCAAAATTGCCAAGTTATTTTGAACTAAAGGTAAGTGATATGAATATCAAATTAAAGCCGAAGATCTTGTTTATCCAGTTATTCCAGAATCAAATTAAATTTAAGCCGAAAATTGTCTGTTTCATTCAAAAATTCTAGCGAAAGTACGTTCCAACAAATATATTACCTTAGTTTTCGCTTCATAAATAATCAAACTAAACCAAAACCTATACAAATTATATATCAGATCAAAGCTTATGACCTCCTCAATCTATCTTTTACAAATCAAAATCAATTCGGCTTTATACTAGACTAGTTCAAGCCAAAAATGTCACAGATACTCACTATTTTGGGCTTGCGAAGCTTGCCTTTGCGGTCCTTGCTCTTCTTCGCCTTGTTAGGTACATCGGTTTTCTTGTCCTGGAAAAGCAGCACAATATAGTCTTCTATCACATACTTTTAAATATTAGGATTAAAATAGGTATGACTTCAAAATTCAACTAGTTTTTTTCAAATTTTAGCTGAAAAATCGCAAAAAATGGCTTAAATTCAAAGTTTTTGCCATTTTTTAGCTATTAAAATTAATTTTTAAACCCCAATATAAACTCACTTTATTTCCGGATGTTTTAAGTTTGAACTCTTCATGGGTTTTGTCCTTATGAGGCTTCCGCGGCCACTGAGACGACATACTTCACGGGAAGGGCGAAACCAGCCGACTGCCAGTTTTGAATACAAAAACAAACTGAATTTCGAAAAAAATCAAAAAATTCATTTTATTTTCTTCAATTTACCATCAGTTATCTAAAATCCACGAAATTTTGACGAGAAAAGCCAAATAATCGGCGAAGAGCGAAGTGTCACAGATGATTGGGACGGAATGTCAACAACTTGCCATTTTTTATTGTTCCGGAGGTCAAAACCTTCTTTATCAATGCCTTTTGAACTGTTTTTAATTATTTTTATGTTCATTTCTTTATATTTGCCTCGAACCAATATAAATTTTAATATTTCGTTATATTAACCGTGACCAATATCCGCTGCAATTCTCAATGGACCGATAAACCCGGCGGCAGTAAAAGTGAAAACGCCGAAACAGTTAATGAAACTGGATTCCTTTATACTTTTTTTATTTCACTGATTCGTCGGAGTAAAAAAACTGGTAAAATAACAATTGGAAACATGCGAATAAATCAACGAAAATGAGCTGTCAATGAGAAATTTGGATTATAACAACCTGACACTTTGCATTTTAGGTAACATCTTGTGTTTAAAGTGGAGTAAAATGCTGTAGCTAGAAATTACAGACAGATATTCTGAAGTTTTTATTGAATTTTAGTATTTATTTAAGCAAAAACCGGCATTTTTCCAGGAAATTTGATGTCACGGATAACATCTTGTGTTTACCGCTGATTACCGGATGTACTACAGCTGAACACTACTTGTAAAGCGATGTATAAAGACGTAGCTACAAGTTATAAATGGTTTTGGTAAGTTCTCAATTGTTTTGTCTTATTTTTCGGCCAAGTTTCGATATTATTCATGATCAGCTGTATGTTATTTTTGGTGTTTCGTTGTGATATGTTTTTTAAAACCTATAAAATTTACATCTTTAGATAAGAAAAACTTATTTCTATTTTTATTCTGTATGCAGGAATAATGAATTGTCTGAAAAATTGAGTTTTGAGGAGGTTTTTAGATATTGTAGTAGGACGTCCAATCATGTTGATGAAAATGGATGTAGGATTTTATGTGATTGTGGTAGAAGGTCGTTGTTTTGCATAAATAGCAGCGATGTTGCGCTAAAAAAGTGTGATAAACGTGAAGTTTATCACTTAGTTTTTAAACATCTTATGGCTTGGCTTCGGATATTGCTGTAGACAGGTAGGGATGTTGCTAAAATTGTTGTAGCACATGCACAGGTATTAGTAGAGAGCTGATTTTTGCAGTAATTGAAGTGATATTATCAGATTTAATGAGTTAAAATCTTGGATTTCGCTCTAAACTATAAACGAAGTTATGAGTTAGTCACTAGATATTGTAGTAGGTCTGAAATAATATTATTGTAGCTCGTAATCTGGTTCTTGTAGAAACTTGAGTTTTTCAATAGTTAAAGGTACTATTATCAGATTTAATACTTACAAATTTTAAATTTTATGCTGTACTTTAGGCTAAGTTATGAGCTGATGACTGGATATTATAGTAGGTTTTTAGGGACATTATTAAAAATTGTTGTAGCACTTGATCTGATGTTCTTAGAAATTTGATATTTAAAATAATTAAAGGCATTATTGCGAATTTTATTCTTTGTTATCTTTTTTCGATTTTTTTTTCTGTTTTTGTAAGAATTTGAAAAAACAATCGGTAATAGGAAGTGGTAGCGGATGTGGCGCAATATCTCATTGTTGTCATTTCTGTCATATCTGATTAACTTTGAGCTGCCAAGATTAACATTACCTGTTTTTAGAAAGGGTATCGACCCTTACCCTACCCTACCCTACTCTACCTTGTCCTACCCTACCCCACTCTACCTTACCCTATCCTACCCTAACTTGTCCTGCCCTACCCTACCCTACCCTACCCTACCCTACCCTACCCTACCCTACCCTACCCTACCCTACCCTACCCTACCCTACCTTACCCTACCCTACCCTACCTTACCCTACCCTACTCTACCCTACCCTACCCTATCATACCTTACCTAATCAGTGGGTATTAGCGAAAAGGGGATTATGGTCAAATTAAAACTGGAATATAATTAACCAACTGAATTGGCATGTTGTACGACTGGGAGACGTACTGGGAATTGATTATAGGACGAAACAAAAAAAAATGAAAAAATTTAATCACAAAGGCTCTACCCTACCCTACCCTACCCTACCCTATTCTGCCCTATCCTACCCTACCTTACCCTACCCTACTCTACCCTACTCTACCCTACCCTATCATACCTTACCTAATCCTAACTTAACCTACCTTATCTTACCCTATTCTTCCCTCCCCCGCCCTACCCTAACCCTACTCTCTACCCCCTACTACCCATACCCCTACCCACCTATCTCTAACCCTTACTCTTACCCCTACCCTAACTTGCCTTATTATACCCTACTTTACCATACCCTACCATACCTCAAACTCTACACCACCCCTACCCCTATCACTCTGTTATTCCTATCATACCTTACCATATCCCTACCTTAACCTGCCTTAGCCTACCATACCCCTACCATCCTCAATATCCTTGCCATTTGTAATAACACGTTAAACATCACGTCCGTTGACCTTGCTCATCTCGTTATCGGAACGTTGGGATGAGTAAGACGGCGATGAAATTAAAAAGTGGGCGTGGCGGATCGATCTAGTTTGGCAGCCGGCTGCATATAAATTAATAAACTGAGTAACACTGGTTGTTTGTCGTATCTTCTCGTTATGTCGGTGAAGGTGGTGGTCGGAGTGACCGCCTCGGTCTCTACCTTGATTATCACTGTAGCTATTGGCTTGAGTATCGTGCTGTTTGAGGTAGGTTGGGTTGTTGGTTGGGTACGGTAGGGTAGGATAGGGTAAGGTAGAGCTAGCCTTAGGATGTTAAACTCAATATTCCAGGAAATAAACAGTCTTCACGATGAGATAATGACAGAAATGTATGAGTTCAAGCACATAGCCAACGACGCTTGGCATAACATCATGACCTACACCCCTCCCCAGCCTCGTCAAGCTCGCAAAGCTAACTTTAACCTAATCGACCGGTCGAACATCTTCAAATCACTTACCGGTCGAAACAAACGCAACGCCCAATGTCAATGTGCAAGACAAGCAAACAACTGCCCGCCAGGACCACCAGGACCACCCGGTCTAGCCGGTACCAACGGTGAGGATGGTACTGCTGGTACACCTGGTACTCCAGGACTGTCTGGAATGGAGGTGACATTCGATGAAATTATGAAAAATGGCTGCATTATGTGCCCAGCTGGACCACCTGGCCCACCAGGACCAGACGGCCCAGCCGGTCTACCAGGTACGGCTGGCACCGCTGGTGAACCAGGTGCACCAGGAAAGGATGGTGAAAGTGGACCAGCAGGACCACAAGGCGATGCCGGAGAGGCTGGACCTAAAGGAGTAACAGGCACAGCTGGCCCACCAGGAGAATCAGCCCAACATTCACCAAGATTGCCTGGTCCACCAGGCCCACCGGGACCAGTGGGACCTGCTGGAGAAGCCGGACCAAATGGTAACAATGGTGCTGTTGGGGAACCTGGCACGGCTGGACCACCTGGCCCAGCTGGGAAGCCTGGCAATGATGGACCGGCTGGAGAGCCTGGAAAGGTGAGTTGATATAGATGATTTATAGTTGGATTAGTTATGTTTAAGAAAGGTCATTTTGAGTTTAATTTAATTATGACAAGTGACATCTTATACGATGAAACATGTCTGGAAATGTTTTATCGTATAAGATGTCACCAAAAGTAAAAATGTTTAAAATGTAAATTTTGTGAAATTTTAAATTAATTTCAAGCCAATTTTACAATTTCAAAAATATTTTTTGTTAGAGTGACAAGTTATACGATGAAACATGTCTGGAAACGTTTCATCTTATAAATTGTCACCAAAAGTAAAAATTTCTAAAAAAAGTGAAGTCGTAAGTCTATTTCAAGTCAATCTTACAGTTTTTTAAATGTATATCATTTCTAGGGGACAAATTATACGATGAAGCATGTTTGAACATGTTTCGTCGTATAACTTGTCTCTTTTTTCAAAAACTGAAGCAAAATTTGAAAAAGTAATACACAACTAAGAAAAGCGAAGTTTTTTTACTTTTTTTGATTTGAAAAATATGAATTTCAGCCCGGTCAACCAGGAGAACCAGGCTCAGACGCCGCATATTGTCCATGCCCAGCTCGAACCCAGAACCTGGCCAATTTCCCAACGGCCGATTCAGAATCAGCTCCAGCTGAATCTGCACCAGTCGAAGAAAAGGTTAGCCCAGCTTCTGGATACGATTCCAGTCCAGCTGAGTCTACAAAGGCTCCGGAATCAGCTCCAGAATCCGGCTATGACGCTGCTGTACCATCTGATGCCAAATCAGCTCCAACTGAAGCCGCAAGTGCACCAACTGAAGTGAAGGCTCAACCAGGAGCTGCACAGGCTTCAGATGCTTCAGGTTATGGTGATGCGGAAGTTAAGGCAGCTTCTGCCGCTCCAGAATCAGCCGCCAATGAGGATTCAGCACCACGCCATTACAAGCCAAAAGCTCCAGATGCACCACCTACAGTACAAACTGGGGAGGTGAAAGGATATCTAGCTAAAGCACATGCCTTTGTCAATGCTGAGGTTGATAAGGATGTGGCTACAGTTGATGGTGACGTCAAGGAAGAGCAGGTTCACGAGAAAGCTCACGAACAAAGCCAGACTTTCGTCGATGAAAACAACGGTAGGATGCTGTAACTTTGCAAAAAAATTAGAAAATTAAGATTTGTGATCTCTCGGGCATGTTAAGTGAAGTTAGGTCAAATTTTTTTTGAAATTTTTGATAAGCGGACAAGTTATACGATGAAACGTGTTTAAACATGTTTTATCGTATAACTTGTCGCCTAGGGCAAAAAATATAAAAAATAAGGTTAAAATTGCTTTCTAAACAGAATAAAATGTCATTTTTTTCAACATGTTGTATATTCGTGTTTTGAATGACAAGTTATACGATAAAACATGTTTTAAAAAAATTTTTGTAATTTTTAAAAATTAACAAAATCGTTCCAGTTATCCACCATCACCACGTAGAAGTAGACGAACACATTCACGAAGAAATTCAAGCCCCGGTCTCCGAGATTTATGGCCGTTCCAAGTTTGGCGGCCAAATTCTGGGCGGAGTCAGCGAAGACCTGAGAGAGGCTTTAAGCGGCTTCAAGGGCCAAAAATGGCCTCCAGAGACGTACGAAGTACCAACTGAACCAAGTGAAGATCAGTCAGAGAACAGGGAAGATTTCCCACATGCTCCAAAGTTGCCCGGATTCAGAAGCCGGCTTCATCGTCAATAAATTTTAAATTTTTGGCCTAAAGGTACTCAAAATTGATGGTGAATAAGCTTTTTGATGTTTTACTGCCATTTGTAGTTGATGTTAATAAATGAACATTTTGTAACAGCTTTATGACATCATAGAGATTAATTTTTTAAGCGGTCAAAAAGTTTTATCCACTTTCACTATTTTATTTCAATTAAAAATGGCAAGAATGCCCAAAGGACTCAAAATTTTGGGCCAAATGGACAAACATTTTTCATGTTATACTGCCATTTGTAGTTGATGGAATTTAATAAAATTTATATGACAGCCTTATCACATCATAGAGATTAATGTTTCAAGCGGTCAAAAAGATTTGTTAACTTTTACTATTTTCTTTCAATTAAAAATGGCAAAAATATCCGAAAAAACCCACTTTTTGACACATCTTAGTCATATTATCTATGCCATTCCTTTTTAAACTAATAAGTTGTTGTTATATTACAGTAAAAACAATATTTTATGATTCATCCGTCTTTAAAATGTTCAACAACATCAATTTACATTACTTTTAGACCTTCAAACCCAAATTATCCTTCAAAACCCGCCGAATTTCCTTCAAAACCGCAATAACTTTCTTTCCAAAAAGTCAAAAAAAAAAATAAAAAATTTATTAAAACAAAGAAAAATTCAAAATATACAATAATTAGATATGAGCAGTGTACAAATTGAAAAAGAACTTAACAGTTTCTACTGTGAAAGATAAGTAGTACAAGGTTCAGCTGAAGACAAGACAATTGATAACCGAGGTGATGGAGGTAGCTGATGTGTTGATGGTTTTTTAGTCATCTTATTTTTAATTTAAAACTATTTTTTGCTGATTTCAAAGGTTAAATATAAAAAATGTGAAAAAGAAGAGGAAGCCGACATGTTATACGATCAAACATGTTTCCTCGTATAAGATGTCACTTTTTCAAAAATTTTAAAATTTGTTTAATATCAAAAATGAACAATTCTAAATATTTTTAAATATTTTTAGCAATTTTTATATTTTAGCGACATGTTATACGATCGAACATGTTTTTTTCGTATAACTTGTCACTATAACAAAAATTTTTAAAAAAGTCAGAAAAAATAAAAGTACATTCAAAAACTGTAAGAAAAACAAAAATAGATCCCTAGCACCACCTCAACACCAAGCCCGCCATCACCGCCAAACCCAGCATGAAGTAGATGAGTTGGGGCGCGGCTCGCGCCCCGCCCATCGAAGCGCCATTACATCGATCCCCCAAACAACTGCACACGTTGATCATTTGGGGATCGTTGCCATAGCGGAACAGATCCGACGCCCTCACCTCGCGACACAGGTCGTACTGGTCGAAAAGGGCGATCGTCTGATTGTGGAACCCGTATCGACTGAGCGAGGTGGCACAGCCGCGCATTGTTAGTCGACGACCCGTTTTTCGACCTGAAATTAATAAATATAAATAAAAATGCCACTTTAAAAACATATTTTTCCAAAATTTTTTGTTTCAAAAAAAAATTTTGGGTCTCACCACGAAAACATGTTTGAGGCCGATTTTGACAAATTAAGACATAGCAAGAAATAAGCCTATCAAACATAAGCGAAATAAGATTGAGCCTACTAAGCCTAAGCCTACTAAGCCTAAGCCTACTAAGCCTAAGCCTACTAAGCCTAAGCCTACTAAGCCTAAGCCTACTAAGCCTAAGCCTACTAAGCCTAAGCCTACTAAGCCTAAGCCTACTAAGCCTAAGCCTACTAAGCCTAAGCCTACTAAGCCTAAGCCTACTAAGCCTAAGCCTACTAAGCCTAAGCCTACTAAGCCTAAGCCTACTAAGCCTAAGCCTACTAAGCCTAAGCCTACTAAGCCTAAGCCTACTAAGCCTAAGCCTACTAAGCCTAAGCCTACTAAGCCTAAGCCTACTAAGCCTAAGCCTACTAAGCCTAAGCCTACTAAGCCTAAGCCTACTAAGCCTAAGCCTACTAAGCCTAAGCCTACTAAGCCTAAGCCTACTAAGCCTAAGCCTACTAAGCCTAAGCCTACTAAGCCTAAGCCTACTAAGCCTAAGCCTACTAAGCCTAAGCCTACTAAGCCTAAGCCTACTAAGCCTAAGCCTACTAAGCCTAAGCCTACTAAGCCTAAGCCTACTAAGCCTAAGCCTACTAAGCCTAAGCCTACTAAGCCTAAGCCTACTAAGCCTAAGCCTACTAAGCCTAAGCCTACTAAGCCTAAGCCTACTAAGCCTAAGCCTAAGTCTACTAAGCCTAAGCCTACTAAGCTTAAGTCTAGTAACGCTAAGTTGACTAAGCCTCTCTTCTGGGTACCACCACGAAAACATCTTACATTTCAAATTTACTTAAAAAATGCATTTTTAACTTAAGTTTACTAAGCCTATCCTAGCCAAATTAAGCCTAAACTCAGAATAAAATAACCTTTTAGGTCCCACAACGAAGTCCTTACCCATGACAGTGAACTCTTGTGTTAGCGTGAGACAGATGGCTCTGCATGGTACCAGTCCGATGCCGGTTGGATCCACCGGATGTTCACATTTGGACGTGAAGTTGCGCGGTTCGAAAAAGTATTGGCCCAGATCGCCGGACTTGAACAACTCTTCGTACATGGGACTCATACAGCTGTAGCATCGGTTCACCCGTAGATACGATGGATACGAAATCTTGTTGCGGTCTGAAAATAGAAATTTTTAAAATTTGGGTTAAGGTTAAGGCTGTCTGGGTTTGGAGTTTGGGCTGGGTTCGATTAAAATGAACAAGGCTGAGCTGGGCTTTTCTGGGCTGGACTGGATTAAGCTAGACTGAGATAGGCTTTTCTGGACTATACCAGGCTCGGCTGGGCTAGGCTGGGCTGGCCCGGGCTTTTCTTAACTGGAATAGGCTCGGCTGGGCTAGACTAACGTGGGCTGGGCCGCGGTTGGGATCGGCTGGCCTGGGCTTTTCTTGGCTGGACTAGGCACGGCTGGGCTAGACTAACGTGGGCTGGGCCGCGGTTAAGATGGGCTGGCATAGGCTTTTCTGGGCTGTACTAGGCTTGGCTGGGCTGATTTGGGTTGGAATGGGTTTTCCAGGCTGGGCTAAGCTCGGCTGGGCTGTACTAAGTTGGGCTAGGCTAAGATAAGTTAGGCTTTTGCTCTGGACTAAGACTGTGGGCTAATCTTCTAAGCTAGAGCTAAGGGCTAAGAGACTAGACGGATAAGAAGCTAGGAAACTAGAGAGCTAGGAATCTAAATAGTAGACTAGGGAGCTAGTGGGGTCTGGTCTAGGACTCTGAGCTAGGGCTCTAGGCTAGGGCTCTGGGCTAGGGCTCTTGGCTAGGGCTGTGGGCTAGGGCTAGGGCACTGTGCTAGGGCTCTGGGCTAGGGCTCTAGGCTAGAGCACTAGGCTAGGGCCTCGGTCTAGAGCTGGGCAGGGTAAACCAAAAAGTAAAAAAACGTACCAGAAGCCCTAGAAAGTACCAAGTCCGATATGAAGAGAACAATCAGTATCAATGGCCTTAGGAACTGGCCGAGTTTTGGGCCGATTAACCTCACATCCAACATGGATAATATGCTTCTTATAGCTGTTTCATAGAAACAATGGAGACGGCTGGCAGTAACATTTAGGTATGGGATGATACTCTGTAAAATGACCTTTTATATTCAATTTTTGGTTACTGTAACAGTATTTTTTACTGTATTATAAGCCAAACACGACAAAGTCTCAATACAAACCTTCAAAAAAGTCTTGTCGTATTTTTTCATTAAAAACAATGTTAAAAAACGACAAGAGTTTTCTAAACCGCGATTAATGCCATTTTTAATTAAAATCTCGAGGTAAATCATAAAAATTTGAAAAAATAATAATCCCCACCAAAAGCCCTGACCCTAAAATCCGCGTTTCAAAACAAATTCCAATAAGTTTTGACATTTGCCGTTAATTTGAGCGGAAAGTGCCAATCAGTCGAAACACGAAACCAAATCAATCATAAAAACATAAAAATTGATCAAAACAATATGGATCACATTCGGGGCAACATCTTTTAGTTTCAAAAACAGTATAATTTGGTTTGAAAATGTCATATATTAGTTATAGTGCAATTAGTGACATGTTATACGATGAAACATGTTTGAGCCAAATGCCACAAAACTTTTTTTTCGAAAAAACAATTTTAAAACGAACTAAAAAATACTTAAAATTCAAAAGTGCCAAAATTGTTAACATGGGAGACAAGTTATACGATGCAACATGTTTGTGTGAAACATGTTTTAGCGTATAAGATGTCACCATATACCAATAGCAAAAAAAAATTTTTATCGTTATTAAGTATAAAAGTAATTGAAAAGCATTAAAATTTAAAAACGCCAAAATTTTTTATATGTATGACATGTTATACGATGAAACATGTTTGAGTGAAACACGTTTGATCGTATAACATGTCACCAAATTGCAATAAAAATTTGTTTTAAAAGAATAGTTTTAGAATAATACAAAAGTAAAATAAAATTTAAAAACTCAAAAATGTTTAATATGCGCGACATGTTATACGATGAAACATGTTTAAGCGTATAACATGTCACCAAAAAAACTTTTTTTTAATTGTAAAAAATATTTTTAAAAATTTAAAAACCAAATTAAAAAATCTCAAACCACGCCAAAAAACTAAAAAAAAAAACGTTTTAAAAAAGCTGTAAAAACAAGCGAGTTAATGACAGATGTAATAGTCATAACGTATGTAAAAAATAAATGTAAAAGCTCAGTTCGAATGCCAATTAGTATTCTATTCACCTTATTTTAGTAATTCTGTGTTACTCTTGAGTAAATTTTTAGTTACAAATGTTAAAAAATTAAAAGAATACCCTACCCTACCCTACCCTACCCTACCCTACCCTACCCTACCCTACCCTACCCTACCCTACCCTACCCTACCCTACCCTAACCTAACCTACCCTACCCTACCCTACCCTAACCTAACCTACCCTACCCTACCCTACCTTATTCTACCCTACCCTAACCTACCCTACCCTACCCTACTTTACCCCGCCCTACCCTACCCTACCCTACCTTACCCTACCTTACCCTACCTTACCCTACCCTACCAACAATTTTCATCCCCTACCTACCAAAGATTGCCCTGCCTCCCCTCCAACCTTTAAAAAGTGCCTTGACTAACCCTAACAAATATGTTGCTTTAATAAAAATTGCTCTGCCCTACCGAAATTTTTCCCTACCCTGCCCTATCAAAAATTGCACCGTGTTAGAACGTCTTGCCTTGCCTTTTCCATCCTCTAAGATTTTACCCCTCCCCTTCTTTTAATTTTTTTTTATTTCTTTACTTTTCTTGACCCCCCCCCCCCCCTCCTTAAAAAAAATAAAAACTCTTCGAAAACATATCCCTAAAACCCCCCCCTTAAAACACCCCCAAAATCATCCCCCCTCCCAAAAAAGCATACCCCCAAAAAACACAAAGCCCTATAGTTTAAAACCGGTTTGGGTTTCGAAAAAACAAACTTTTGCCCTTTGAAACAAAGCTTATTGAAGGGATCAGTCATAACAAAGCGAGAAGCGGCCCGGAATTCCCTTAAGAACGGCCCCGAATTGTGACAAGTATTTTGTTCGAGTAGTTTGTTAACTTGGTTTGCGGTCGATTATATAACACGTTTATGGTTGGCGGTTCTTTTATTCTTCATTTCTCGAACACTTTTAGACTGCACTGTGCAGACTTTTGTTCATTTGCACGGTGCAGATTTTTTTTAAATTTTAAAATTTCGCTTTTATAGTAGAAATTTTAAATTTTTTAAAATTGATATTTAAAATAAGATTTAAAAAGCTGTTCTCAAGCATAAATTCAAGCCTTTACTTACCATATATTTAAAAAAGTCAAGTTGAGTGCACGGTGCAACATTTTTAGAAATTACACGGTGCAAATGTTTTTAAATTTTAAAATCTGCCTTTATAGTCAAAATTTTAAATTTATAAAAATTGATATCCAGTGTTTTGCCGGACCAGTCCGGTCCGGACGGACCGAAACAAAACTTTTTGTGGACCGGACCGGACCCAAAAACCTCGGACCCGGACAGAAGAAAAAGCTCCGGACCGGTCCGGAAGAAAAATTTTTTTTAATTTTAATAGAACTGATTTAAAAATTGCAAATAGAATGTATTTTTAAGAGTTTTTAAGCAAAAAGAAAGCAGTTTCAGCGCTCCTTGCTTTTTTTAAAAATAAAAAAAAAATTTTATGCGGACCGGACCGGACAGGACCCAAAAATTTCGGGTTTGGACCGGACCGAACCCAAAAATTTGAGGTTTGGACCGGACCGGACCCGAAAATCGCCGGACCGGACCGGTGAAAAACGCTCCGGACCGGTCCGGGCAAAACACTGTTGATATCTAAAATAGTATTTAAAAAGCTGTTTTTAAGCATAAATTTAAGCTTTAAAAAAAGTCAATTTGTCTGCACGGTGCAAATTTTAAAAACTTTTTAAAAATGTTTTCAAGCAAAAAATTTTCAAACTTATGTTACAGTATATAAGGACGGTTCAAAACCTACCATTGAATAAAATTTCAGCCATTTCATTTTATCAAAAAACTATTATTTTTAAAGTCAAATCGACTACACGGTGCAACACTTTTACCTCTTGCACCGTGCAAATTTATAAAACTCCAAAAAAGTGCCTTTATGTTTTACTTGGCTTAAAAATTTATTTTTATTTTAAAATACTATAACAAAAGTTAGCTATTATCAAAATTGTAGGCTTTTAACTTTCTATTCGATCTTTTATTGGAATACAGAAAACTATTGCACCGTTCAAAATATACCATTTTTATAAGGGACCCTATCCTAGTGATAGCCAAATCCAAACTTTAATTTTCACTCTGGCCTTACGTTTAGTCTTAGCCTGAGTCTGATCCTAAGACCTTTGCCGTAGCGTTGGCCTTAGCTTTAGCCTTAGCCTTAGCCTTAGCCTTAGCTTTTGCTTTAGGCTTAGGCTTAGCCTTAGCCCAGCCTTAGCCTTATAGACCTAGCAATCGGACCAAAATAACTTGGAAAAAAAATAGGCAAGTCAAGCTGAAAAACCGACCCGACCCAATTTCCAGACCACCTACAGATAAAAAACTTTAAATCCACCCTCCCCCCCCCCTCTTCAAACCTTAAAAAAATCAGTTTGAAAAACAGGAAAACAACTTAAAAAACATTTGTCACCTGAAATCAAGTGTAATATAAACTAAAACCGCCAAACCGACTGCAAAAACTTAATCCCCCTCAGGCGTCAAATTACATTTTTCAAAAATACGAAAAAAAACTTGTCAAAAACAAAAAAAAACGAATACCTCAAAGTTATGAAACCATTTAGAAACGGCCGCAAAGCCATTCAAATACATCCGGCGACAGATGTGCCTCGAGGCTATGAAGATGCATAGGTCGTAAAGTTTTGAACTGGTGGGGTAAAATTGAAAAAAAACATTGAAAAATACCCTGCCCTAGCCCAGAGCCCTAGTACAGAGTCCTAACCCAAAGCCTAGAGCCATAGCCCAAGCCCAGAGCCCTAGCCCAGAGCCCTAGTCCAGAGCCCTAGCCCAGAGCCCTAGCCAAGTCCTAGTTCCAATCCTAGCCCTGGTCTTGGTCCTGGTGCTGGTCTTAGTCCTAGTCCTGTTTTTAAATGCTGATCCTGGCCTGGTTCTGGTCCTGGCCTGGTTCTGGTCCTGGTCCTGGTCCTGGTCCTGGTCCTGGTCCTAGCCCTAGTCTTACTTTTGGCGTTAACTCTGATCTTAGCCCCTAATCCCAGTCCTGGATCTCAGTCCCGGCTATCTCCTACTATACTTACCATATCGTCACCTTAATATTACTTAACTCTACTGTAGTCACCAGCACCTTTTTCAATACCTACCTACCCTCTTTTTCACTACCCCGTCCTACCCTATCCTACCTTAAATTACCCCGGCCAACCTTGATAATACCTTGACCCTATTAAAGTTTACCCTATCATTGCTCTACCCTTACCTCAATCCGATTCTATCCTGACCAAACCTTACCCAACCAACCCAAAACATAAAATTTATACCCCACCCAACGACAGCTCCTAAATCATAGCGAGAGTTTTGTCACGAAGATTGTCTCTCCAGTTTTAAAAGTTGTCAAATCCACGAGGGAATCGGCCCGAGGCCTGATGAATTAGCGCCGTGCCAAAAACAGTCACCGAACCAAATTTTAATAAATGGCGCGTGCGACACGGAAACAGGAACATGGCTACGTCAAGATCTTTGAAATTGAAAATTTTGAAAAATTGAAATTTTTTAAATTTTCAAATTTTAAAATTGATCGTTTATAAAACATTAAAATTCAAATTTAGTCATAACTCAAGTCTAATATTTGTAAAGCCCTGGACTTAACCTTGGTCTAAGCTCTTTCCCTAGCTTTGGTTCTTGTCCAAACCCTAGTCTCAGCTCTAGCCTGAGCCTAGGCATGGAGAACGGGCCAAGCCTGAGCAAAATTCCCTAACCTTAGCCTTAACTTTAGCCTTATCCTTAGTCTTAGTCCTAGCCCTAGTGCTAGCCTACAAACC